ACGACAGCAGATATGCTGACTCCATTATTGCAAAAGATCTGGAAAGAGGGAAAGGTGACTACTGACTGGAGGAAAGGCTACCTCGTGAAACTACCAAAGAAGGGCGACCTGGGACTCTGCAAGAACTGGCGAGGAATCATGCTCCTGTCGACGCCAAGTAAAATCCTGAGTCGCATCATCCTGGAAAGAATCAAGGACGCGCTGGATACAGAACTCCGACCAGAACAAGCTGGATTCAGGAAAGGTAAATCATGTTCTGACCAAATTGCAACTCTACGCATCATCATCACAGAACAAAGCATGGAATGGCAATCAAATCTCTACCTCAACTTCATAGACTTTGAGAAGGCCTTCGACAGCGTTGACCGCGAAGTAATTTGGAAACTACTCGAGTACTATGGCGTACCCCAAATATTCATCAACCTTATTCAACAACTGTACGACAACGGCACATGTCAAGTGATCCACAACGGAAAACTCAGCGAAGCGTTTGGAGTAAACACAGGAGTCAGACAAGGGTGCTTATTATCACCAATGATATTCCTAATTGTGGTGAACTGGATTATGCGTCAGACAGTGGGAAACGAGAAGACAGGGATATCCTGGACCGACGTGAAGAACCTAGAAGACCTGGATTTCGCGCGTGGATGATTTATGTTTGATGTCACACAAAATCGAAGACTTACAAGCGAAAACCGACAAACTGGTCGAAGAAGCAGCAAAGACAGGACTCCAGGTGAACATAGACAAGACGGAGGTTATGAAAATAACCAACCAACAACAACAACAACAGCAGCAACATTCAGCGCCAATTACCATCAACGGGAGGGATTTGAAAGAGGTTACTTCTTTCACTTATCTGGGGAGCATTGTCTCAACCACAGGAGGAACGGACGAGGATGTCAAATCGAGAATCGGGAAGGCGAGAAACACATTCATCAACCTGAAACCAATCTGGAAATCTTCGTCACTCACCATCAACAACAAAATTCGGATTTGCAATACAAACGTGAAGTCAATTTTGCTTTACGGATCAGAAACTTGGCGGGTCACCAAGAATATTTTCAACAGGTTGCAGACCTTTATCAACAACTGTCTTCGCTCCATACTGAAGATTAGATGGCCAGAAAGAATCACCAACAAGAAGCTATGGGAACAAACGAAACAGGAACCAATTGCCCAACAAATATGCAGGAGGAAGTGGAGATGGATTGGACACTCGCTGAGGAGGCCGTTGAGTGACACCGCGCGTCAAGCCATAGCTCGAGTGGAACCCGAAAGGGAAGCGGCGAGTGGGACGTCCAAGGGTGACATGGAGGAGATCGTGTGAGGAGGAGATGAAACAGTATGGAATAACATGGGCGCAAGTGAAAAGTACAGCACAAGACAGAAGCAAGTGGAGGCGTGCAGTTGAAGCCCTATGTTCCACTAGGAACCCAAGGGAACAATAATAATAATAATTTCAAAGGCTATACAACCAGGTCAGAGAATGCTTATGTAAGGGACAGTTGCAGAGAGTATGACAACAATGGCGCTGGTGCCAGTTTTACATTTATTGTTTAAAACGAATTTCAAACATTCAAAATACACTACGAGATTCTCATCTAGAACCACGCTCATCCAAGATAAATAAATAAAATTATTTACTTTTCAATGAAACAAATCTTCCTATCTAATATTTTTCTGTTCTACTCGATATGGTGAAGTATGTTCAAAAAGTCATTTTCCGAGAATTTCTACTTAAATGTCAATTGAGTTGAAGGTTCAGTAGCATGATATTTCTGTGGAAACTGGTTCCTGCCCAGCAGCTGTCTATAGTTTTAGGTTCTTGATATCGAGTATGAAACAGTTTCACCTCAAGGTTTTTCAGAAACAAAGCAGTTATTCGCTAACGGATTCCTTAGTGCATATTTTTTAGATTCATTGAGGAAAGAAAACATACCTAGATTTTACGAGTTGATCACGGACTGATATCAGTTAGAGAACCATTGAAAACCAGGGAGTACTGGACAGCTGCTGTTTCATCCTAGTTTGGGAATCATCGGCAGTACGCACCCACTGGGATTCGAACCCAGGACCTTCCGGTTACAAGGCAAGCTCGTATACCATTCAGCCACTGGGACCCGATTCAATGGCTCATGAATTCTAACTTCTACCAATTCGTGATTTTAGCGCGACCCCAACTATTGTCGTTGGTGGGAAATCCATCCACACATGTGACTTCTAATTGGACCTCACTAGTCACCTAGATTTTCCTGGTGTTTAGAAGCACAGAACTTTGTAAACTAAAAAACTGTCAGTTACAATTAGGATTTTCGTAGACAGATCACCTCCTTAAGTAAGCAACTCCTTTTTGCAGTTGGATATTGAGAGAGGTTCGACTTCCGTAGGAAATTCACTGTTTGGGCAGTCATCATTAAAGGTTTGGAACAGGTCCAGATTCTCATCCCAAATAATGAATGTATCACTGAAATGTCTTTTGTAGAGATGAACCCGATTGTCAACTGAAGGCAAAACATCCCTTACCAGGTTAGCCGTGAAATAGTTGGCCACAAGAGATCCCATAAGATATCCAATTGCCGCCTTATCTTTTTTCCTGTGGGTTTTGTTTCTGTACCTGAAGTAAACCCGAGAATTCATCAGAATAACATCTCCTTTATATAAACAGTCAGTATGCTGGCATTAACGTTATTTAATTGGATGAATTCACCTAAAAAGTAGATGTTTTCTGTCAGTGGAACATTGGTGAAGAGTAAGGTGACACCCAAAGAGACGATTTCGTTATTTGCAACATTGACATTCTTATTCTGATCAAAAAGATCAGTTATTTCTCAACAGCTTCTCTTCTTCCAGTTCAAGAATCTCCACTGGCCACTCAGTGATTGAGTGCTAGGATAATTTATCATTTACAGTATTGGGGGATTGGAACGTCCTTTTGTGTACTTTACGTACACGCGTCGCATAGTAGAACAAGAAGGACGAAGTGGTTTATTTAGTTCCGTGCTAATATATGATTGGCCTTTTATTTTCTGCAATAGCTTTGTCAGTTGAGTTTCCGTCTGTTCATTCAGATGTCTATTTCAAAAATTTCCTGTCATTGAATAAAGTTTGTAAGAGCGTATGAAAAAGTTTGATTTGTTCGGCAAAACGATTCCGGAATGTTTATTTGGGCATGTTATGATCAAGTTTTCATCCTTCTTTAATTCTTTAGACTGATTTCGCTGTTCTCTTAGTTAAATAAATAGTAAGAGCCAAATATTTATTTATGTGATCGAGACAGAGACTTAAAACAGTTCATTTAAAATCTTCTGCATCGGTACACGTAGCTAGAAGTAGATCAGCATTCTGACTGATGATTTTCTCGAAATGGACATTTGTACTTACTTCACTGATCACTAACGTTAGGTCATAGAATTTAGGTCCAAGTTACAAGATGAGCATTTGTGTTGAGGGTAGTGATACACTGTAATATGTAAATCTATACTTCCCGAAGGCAGGAGGAAAAACCGTTTTCTTTGGTTATGGGCATTAGATTTTTAAAATTCATGATAAGGCAGTCAGTTCTGTGTTTGGCAACAATAGCGGCACAGTTCACGAATGATGTTCTTTCATAGGTAGCCAACTAACAAAGGAAGTATCTGAGTGGGATATTCTGCTCGAGGTTAGGCAATCGATAACGGACGTCGTGAGTGTGATCTCGTCGTTTCACAGACGACTATGTGGGAGATACATGCTTGCTTCTGCTATTATTTTGAATAGCCCTCGAATATCCATGTTTCGTCAACAAATTATTCCAGAAGTTTTGAATTAACCCTAGTAAGTCGAACGGACGGGCGTAGGAACTTGTTCAGTTGCTTCTCCAGCGTCTACTATTTTATAATAAAAGACAAAACAAGCGGGCCAGCAAAGAATCTCTTTTCGATGAATTCACTTTCTTTTGCTGTATAGTTGTATTTATATACAGTTCACTGGTTGCCTACTCAGTGGTAAACATAAGGGGTAAATTTAGGATTCTTTGAGGATTTTCTTTGAAGAAACGCTAGGAGCAGTGCTCTGCAGTAGGTTACTGGTTCTCAGAAGCCCAAAGAAAACACTTCTAACCTCACTAATTCTATGTATTTATCACTTCACCTGTTCTTGCGGAACCAGGCTAATTGATCTTTGACACAGATCCGATCTTAAAGGGCTGAAGAATAACACTCTGCTAAAAGCCAGCAGCGGCTCTTCAAGGGGTGTTTTAGTTGAAGACACCGGCCATTCTATCTCAACAAACTGCTACTTTGAGGTAATCTAAGAAGTGAAAAGTATCTAGCCTATGAAGATTCACTTTCGCCTACTATGCACTGCCGAAGACCTAAAACTTACTGTTTTTTGTATATCGATCATCTCTGTAATGAATTAGGTGCATCACTGATACTCCGTGAATCAAGGGTACTGGAATCTTAGTAAACGTGTCTACCCATACACACCGCTTCGTAGAAGAGTTTGGAAGAAATTTAAAGATTTGCAGGAGTGTTGTATGTCTAAGGCGTGGTTAACTTAAAAGAATGCTAATGTGAAGTATCTCCTGTAAGTATTTAGGTTTATGAAGTATTGTCTACCTACCTAACTATACTTAATTTACGCCTACGATCAGGCATTTGATTTAACTCAGCTTTGAATTGGGTGAAAACAAGAAAACTAGTGAGGTATTTACAACTCATTTCCATCCTTGTTCCACTTATTGGGGAAGTGGCACTAAGACTGCTTGCTTATTTTTATTTGGTAGATTCCCACACCTCCGTGAACACATGTTTTCTACCTCTAACATTTCTGACAGAATTTTGCTATCAAGACATTATTCTTCTCTCCATATCTCACTTACCTGGATGGTAAGACAGTGGTTCCTTTGAATTAAAAATTTGTAGTAAAATACGACGTGTAATTATTCCCCTGTGAAGTAAGATCTTTCATTTTTCTTTCTATGTTTCTTCATTGGATAATTGTACAATAAAGCGGGATAAAGATTTGACCTTAAACGTGCCGCCTATCATTAAGTCCTTCTTTATTGGCGCTCAAATTGGCTGCTGGGACTTAAGCAATATGTTGGATTTATATAACTCAATTTATATCTTGGGAAGATAAATGGGGACACTGCAGAATAGAATCGATGAGCTTGTGTCTCTATATACTAAGAGTTCACCCTTGCTGGATGATAATTCTGTTAGTATAGAATACTTGTTGGATACTATTGTTTGTCTTTTTTACGAATGCAAACTCCCTCAGCATAAAAATGAGAGGAACTGCATGAAATTTTACAATGCCGGTAAGATATCATGTGGTTAACTATCTTGTAGTCAAAAAATACGTTGAAAAAATCGAGAAGTGTTGGATTTCAAAGTCAGAGTTTGAAACCATTAGATTAATTGGATCTGGAGCATTTGGCGATGTGTCGGTTGTTAGATGGAAAAATGACGGAAAGACATATGCTCTCAAATCTCTCCACAAGTATGATATGCTTAAACGTTCAGATGTAGGTTTGTGGTATATTTCGACATCCTCCTAGAGAGCTTGCTTTCAAGAAGAACGAGATGTTATGGTGAAGGCAATGGTCAATAATTCCCCATGGATAGCAAAACTGCACCACACTTTTCAAGATGAGAAGTTTCTGGTAACTAAACATGCTATTTGTATATAATGGTTAAGTATTTTCTTATGGATTTCTACAATGGTGGAGATATGCTTACTATGCTTAGCAAGTTCGATGATAAAATACCTGAAAATATCGCCCAGTTTTACGTCGCTGAGATGGTGCTAGCTATTAATGCTCTACACCAGCTCGGTTATGTTCACAGGGATATAAAACCAGACAACGTGCTGTTGCAAAGGTAGGTTCGTTATTGCACGATTCATGCTAAAACTTTATCAGTTGTATTACGTAGAATTTACTAGCTGTTTACATATCACTTGCATATTTCAGTACTTTTTATGCTAGTTCGTATAGATGTTACCATTCTGTGATTTCCTTCTACATGTTTGACATGACATATTTGGTGGTATAATAGTTTTTTTATACTGGTGACCTCTTTAGTAAAGTGCAAATTATGTATATCTGTTGAATTTACGAGTCAGTATTTGATTATGAAATACACTTCACTTTTGGTAACTAAAAAGACTACATTGACTCCCAACTTAGAGATAGGGAGTGAATTGGTTGGTGGAGCACGTTGACCACTTCACTTATTTGGGAAGTCACATCACCCTCAATGGGTTGATAGCTGACAAAATCTCAGCATGGATACAGAAGGCTAGTTTCGCATATGGCAGTTTACTCCATCTCTAGCGTAGACGTGATATCCGGCTATCGACCAAAAGGCGTGTGTGCTGCTCAGCAGTCCGCTCCGTCTTCCTTTATGACTGTGAGACCTGGTCATTGAGAGTGGAAGACATGAAAAGCCTGGCTAGCTGTCTTTGGTCATAGGTGCCTGTGTTCTACCTCCCGTCTTAGGTGGTACCATAGGGTGAGCAATATTTAGGCTAGGTGTCGAATGCTAGGTAAGGAGGAAAATCAATAGAAGAGGCTGTGAAATTACATCGATTGAGATGGTTAAGACATGTGTTACCCATGCCTAGTCATCTTCCTCGATGGTCACTGTTAGTTGACATAGGATCAGGTTGGGAAAGAGCTAATGGTGGCCAAACCAAAACATGGCTTCACCAGTCAATAAAATCCAGTTATTTTAAGCCAGCGACGTAGGAAGTTGTAGACTTCCTGGTTGGGGTCCTCAGAATGGTAAAACCGATGGCTGGAGACAAGTCTCGTCACTTCGACGCCCAGCTGCTAAAACATGAAACGGTGCTCCCCTATTAATTATTTACGCTTGTCAGAATGAAAAGTACTTTCTTTGGAACTCGATTCTTACACACAGTTAACAGTGATATAAGCTTTCACGCCCGAATTCCAATTCGAAATTTGTGACCAGGTTTCTGCGTAGATCCCCATTCTGACTCCGTACATCAAAGACGTTCTCTAAATTTATGTTAACTGTGGTTGTCTTTAGTTTTCTGAATGTAACCTATAAATAATTGGAGTGTATTCCCCTCTAATGGCTGACGCATATAAAAGTAGCGTCAAAATAAACCATCTGCAGCTCGAATGTGACAACGGTGGTCATTAATAAGCATTAATTCTGCGTGCTCATTCAGAGTATATTTGCGGTATGGTACGCATGTATATCAGAAGTCACAAAATCAGAACGTTTGTTGTAGTAGTGAGCTTTTGTTTTAGAAGCAATTTTTACTCCATCTCGTAACCTACCTACTTGGCTTTTCGAAGAATGTTCCCAATTTAATGCTGTGTGACATGAATCGGTCGATGTATTTATCAGTTACACTAGCTCAAGTGGTCGTACAAGAAATTAATTAATCTTTCCACTAGCTTTTCATAATATTTAAATATACTCAAAGTACTTTCTCAGCAGCTATCGACTTCTCAGTCGAATTGTTTTACAAATGACATCTAATAACTTTCAATTCTATCGTTATTGCTGTGAAAACAGAACTAACGTAGTACGCATGAATTTAGGTACTCTATTCGTGGTTTGATTCAATGAAATAAACCTCATAATTTGTGAGAATACCGTATGCTTCTTTCCCACAAGCTACTGAGGTGTAGTCATTAAGTAGCTAAAAGTATTTGACGTATACTATTATTTTAGTTTCCTGTCACTATCAGTATTATCCTCAATTTCAAGCTTACATGACAGTAAGTTACTAGTTCCTGCGTGTCCGATTTTGTTTCGATAATCAAGTGTACATCACATATTTGAATCACTACTAGACCACCACATAGTAGTGCCATCTTTTATGTTGGTAGCATTTGGTTTTTTCAATAGGGGCCAATACGTTTATTTGAAAAACTTTTTATTAATATAAGACTAACTTACCTTCTTCTAAAATAATTTTTTTGCTACAGCTCAGGTCACATTGTTCTTGCTGACTTCGGTTCTTGTTTGAAGCTTGGAGAAAACGGGCTAGTGAAGAACAATACAGCTGTCGGTACACCTGATTATATATCACCAGAAATTTTACGTGCTTCTGAGGATGGTCACGGAACGTATGGTGTTGAATGTGATTACTGGTCTTTAGGAGTTGTGATGTATGAGATGCTGTTCGGCGAAACACCTTTCTATAGTGAAAACCTAATCGAAACATACGGTCACATTATGAATTTTGAGGTAAGATTTCATGATGTTTTGCAAAAGTAAAATTGCCCCTAATGAAAAACAATATTATTTCGATGGAAATTTTAAAACTCAGTAAAAGTGGATAGAAGGAAAAAAAATAAATGACTAAATGTCGAAAAATATCGCATGAAGTAGCGTATGGTCATATCTTGTTAATGGATTGCGCATTGTAAGGTAGCAAAATAAAAAAAATAAGGGCTCCTACCATTTGTGTCTCATATGGCTGTTTTTATTTTAATCCTGTAGTTTTAAGTTATTGAATGGATCTAGTTTCTCTTACTTTTAGCCTACAGTCCAGGCATGTGATTTTTGTGATTATCTTGTATGGGTTTATTATGTGTATTAGATATAAATTGTATCCATCGGTAATAAGTTGATGTGGTTATGTATTTTCCCTTTAGTCTATTTAAAATACCTTATCATATAAGTATGAGATATCTAGTTAAATAGTCTGTAGATTTTCTGGTTTACTATGACTGTGATTTCATTGTTTTATTCCGAAGTTTTTCATTAGATGCCATGTTTTCACGATATATTCTTCAACGAATTACAATAATTCCACTCTCCTGAGATTTGAATATCTTAGCTAGATCACAAGTGACATCAGCTAACAAATGTTTCTCACTGACAACATTTTCAGAGATTGTATAGTTTCTTCATTCAAATACAATTATTATTCATCTTAAGTGCAATGTAATGTTGCCTAACAACTAATTACATTCATATGCACTTCTCAGTGCGCAACAGATGTTGTGTGACAGATAGTGACACTCTCTGATTGCCTAGACGTTAGTAGATAGTGCAAGTGTTGAACACCTGACCCAGTGGGCAGAAGTCGAGCACTTAAACGCATAGCTTTTTGGTGCCCAAAGGCAAGGTAATTGGAAGGACATCACTGATGAATCTGAAACTTGACAGAAAAAGAACAGCTAATATCACAAAACCTAGATTGGTGAAAGAGTATTGTATGTGAATAACTTACGCTACTCGTTTAGTAATGAATATACAGGCGAAAGATAGACTGCAACCGCTGGTTGCTTCCATTTGTGTATATCAGCTTACCTTCTTGTGGGGAGAGGTATTTTAGCCATACTCAGAAACAGGTTATATACCTTCTATATAAATACCTAGTATGACACAGGAGAGATGAATGCGATGTTCAGTTTTCCATCCGATTGACAATGACCACTATTCCATAAGATCCATTTCCAGTAATCTACGTGGTACAGCGATATATGTGAGAAAAGTTTTTCTTCGTATTCCTGAGTCTGGTTATTCTGAAGTAGAAAGCAAAAGGTAAGCAACAGTCCTATCCAAACCCAGATAACTCTTCCCTTTCCTCACCCTATTTAGGTATTCTGAATGTTAAACCTCCCCACTTGATTGTCCTGACAATACGTAGAACGTGTTGATATTCTTTGTCTTTAAGTGTTAAACAATAATCATCTTTAAATGCGACTTTACAACCTTCTCTTGAAACTAATGTGTTAATCGAAGTCTATCCTTTTCACGACTTTTACCTTTTCTGTTTTTCCACTCTCTTCTATCGCCAGCTTAATTTCAATACATTTCCAACTTTATAAAATTGTTTTATTTTCAGAAGCATTTTTCAATTCCTGCGGATTGTACAGACGTTTCTGAGTCAGCATGCGATTTAATGCGACATCTGATATGTGACAGGAAACGAAGATTTGGTCGAAATGGGATTAATGAATTGAAAGAACATGCCTTTTTTAAAGGTATAGATTGGGAACATATACGAGAACGTAAGTCGTATTTATGCGGTAATATTTTCTTTTGTCAACAAATCTATGATATTGTTTTTCCACCTAACCACTATTTGACTTGATAAGCCTTCAACTTGCTAGATTCTAAAGCGTACGGGAATTGCAGAAGTTATTATACTTTCACTAATGCTTGCCCATTCATCTCAAATACGTATATTAAATCTGAGTAAATGTATTGCCGCAAAAATCGTTCATATATGTAAAAAGTATGTATATATATGACTAGAAAGTTGAGGGTTGACTACAATTTATGCGAATAGCATGTTTATTCTTTTGCGTCAGTGAGATTCGTAATCTTGTGACTGATATTGTTTTGAGTTTTAAAATCGGAAAGATCCAAAATGTTTATTGTCTTCAGTTGCCTAGGTATACACTTTCAGTTTTAATGTGGTTGCTTCCTCTGAGGTGGGCAATTTAGTTTCGAAGATTTCTTTATCCTTCTAGACAATTACCACAGAGGTTATTGGGAAATACATGGGAAATTCAAATAAGTTCGCTTCATATTGAAGCTAGATTGACAACGAAAGCTTCGCAATTGAATTGCCCAGCTCAGAGAACACAACCAGATCAAAGTCATCCACATGAAATACAAATCTCTATTATGCTTTCTACATTTTAGTTAATATTGTACCCTGTGAAAACGATATTTTCTTTTATCAGTCGTCTTTAAGACATCACTGTTATTTGATCAGTTGTTAAGCCTAGTCTTGAACTCTAAATTGATAAGTATAATGAACCCTTTAATTTGGATACGTACCACTGATTCATTGAGTCTGTGTTGAATTTATCCGCATAGGAAGAATATTTTGTCATTTCGATATTCAAGGTAACATAGAAAGTGGTTTCTGCAAACTCCAATTGACATACTTCAGACTTAATCGTAGTGACGTAGATACACTACATTGTTTTTTTTTTAAAAATCTTAGTCGTGTGGTCATACATTCTTAGTTTTGTTTTATTTTGTCTTCCATATATAGCCTTATATCACTTTTCTTATCACCTATTTAAAGTAGCAGTTTGGATTGTTATGCACTAGTTCGTTAGTATGTGATTATGCTCATCTTTGAGTTGCTCAAATTCAGTTTTGTTAATTGTTCGTGAACGCCTAGTTTAAAAAAACCTGCAAAATATCAAGGTTAACGCTGATTTTATGGAGGATCATATGATGTCTAGACATTCTTGTGGTCATCTGTCCAAATGTTGATCTCTTCACAGGTACTTAGGGGTTTTGAGCTTCTAGAAAATTTCTAGGACATCGTAATGGCAAAATTAAATGACACAACATAACATCAAAAAGATAGAAGCCAAAACTATCCACTCGCACTATTGGGTTAGTTTTTCTATGGGATAGTTTTGTAACTGCCTTTAGAATTTTGACGAGTGATCTGGGTCTTCTAGATGAGTTCATTTGTCTTCCTTTGGTATCGAAATTGTGTTCATTGAGCAGTAGATATTTTCAGGGATTATTTCAAAAGTACTCATAAATTACCATAACTAAACCGATCCCCTGAAGTAACGTTTTTGTTTCTTGTTTTACTACTCAAAATTTTCTCGTTCTATTCTATATTTCTTTAAAAATTTTTATTCGGTATCTGCTGATTTTCTGATGGAAGTTTCAGTGACCTAAGATAAATTTCGCTAGGTTAGCATATATGATTTATGCATGATAACATTCTAAGGTAATCAGCGTTTCAAGACTACTTTCAATAATCAATGATACATGTCGAATATATTGGCAGTATTCTGATTGCTTTATTTTAAAATGAGCAGGTAGTGTTAAATCCGTCATATTTCTGCATGTCATTTATCATTGACTGTCTTCCTTATTTTAGTAAAACTACTGTACGGTGAATGGCAACAAAGAAAATGGTAGCACAAGTGTCGCTCACTACCTGCAAGAAGATTGGTTTGATTTGGGTCTCTTATGTGTGTGGAGGGGGGAGGGCTAGGGTTATCCATTCCTCTAAAACTCACCATATACCTTAGGATTTTAGGAATTATGTCAATTAAAGTTATTCATTGGAATCCTATCCTTTCTGTTAGTCTGCAGTAAACGACAATAAATAAGTGGTAGTTGCTGTAACATGTATATAGCCTTTTATTGTTTCTAGAAGTATTTATCCGCATTTTACTGTTAGTCTTCTCAACGTTCACTGTGGAGCACCATCCTGAAAGAGTCATCAGTGGACTAATTTGGTCATAAATTTGAAAAATGTTCACATATTCTGGAAAAGTGCCTTATGTATGTTGAGAGATGTGATCATAAAGTATCTGATTATTTCGTGTTGTGGTCCTTTGACCTACTGATTAATTGTCAGATCAGTTTCTCTCAATTTAATGTTTTGTAGAACTTGCGAGTAGAGAAGTTGTATTGTTTTCAGAAATCATAATATATTTAGCATGTTATGAAATAATTCTGATAAACCATGCTCCATAATCTCTTTTATTTCAGAGAACGCTCCGTACATCCCTGAAGTGACCAGTCCAGATGATACATCTAACTTTGATATTGAACAGTCATCTCGTAATCATGTAAGTGTGTTCGATAAATTGTACATTCGACATAAATAAGCTATGTTTTCATTCCTTTGCGTTCCAAGTGGGAAATAGGACTTCAAAGTTTTTAGTTTCAGTAGCGTTTGTGTTTTCACGGGGTTGGGGGTTGCTAGCCTCACGCTCAACCTTTCCTCTTTTTCTGGCCTACTAGGTGGGGTTTAGAAGGGCGTTGCCCGGGAGTCGAACCTGGACCTCCCCACTGTATTTATTTACTGTTTGTGAGTTATGTTCTGTACATCACAAACATATATTACATACGCCGCTGTTTGTTCTTTATGTGCTACAATATATAATTTGAAATTTTTATGGCTTTGTCGGTTAAATCTTTATTCGTTTTCTGTCACCTCCTACTCTTCTAATGCATTTCGACATTTCTTATCCATTCATCAGTTTGTTTACGTCCGTGCTTGCTTGGGAAATGGCTGGCTGGATTCAACATAGAACTTGGCACCGAAGTGCAGCAGTTCGAGTTGCCACGTTCCAACGAGCTTGGGAAATGGATAAACTTGAGTCATTAAGATAATGGATTTAATTCTACACTGTGCCTGTTTGCACCACATTCATCATTCATTCAGTCTAACCATAAGGAATCTTACTCTGTGTCTGTTTGATGGTGTAGTTCATATGCCTAAACACGACTTTCAGGCAGTGGATTTCAAGTTCCGATCCCGCTTGGCCTACTTCAGCCTGGGCTACTGTAACTGGCTAGTACATTATCAGCCCTCAGACTATGATTTGTTCATAGCCTGGAAGATAGAGGATCTGTTTTGGGAGCTAATTGCAAATAAAACTATCCCTACTCATTGTACAATATGTTATATATACATATATATCTTTTTTGTATTAAATTTTAAAAAAAATCAGTTTTGCCTTTTATGTTTTACACTTTATCACGGTTTTCTTTCTTTTATACCAGAAACTATGTTCCAGTTATTTCATTTTATATTCATTGACTGGTTTAAATAAATAGACCGCATTTATATCTTTTAAAGATTTAATTCAATTTTCAGTTAGCTATTGTAGAACAACAGGATAAGTGCCCATAAAACTATATGCTACTGATTTATCGAGATAAGTAGTTGTACACCATCCACATCAACCAGTAGTACTTGCTAGCCAGATTATCGAAGGGATCTAAACACTGGACAGCGATTCCGCTCATTTGTGTCGAACTAATCAGCGAGCGAAGCCAAAAATCAAGTGGTTTTAATTCATTTGACTCTCTGAGCTGAGTCACACCAGGTGGTGGTACACCGTTGATAAGCTTTACCTCAAATGAGCGGAACGGCCGTCTGGTGTTTAAAATCATTTTGATAATTTGGCTGGCAAGTACTACTGGTTCATGTGAGTGGTGTACAACTACTCATTTCAATGAGTCGGTTGTGCATAGTTTTATGGAATTATGCTTTCTTTCTTGTTTACGATTTATGTTATTAGGCAAATCAGATATCGGGATCTGAGTAATACTTTTGGTTTCTTAAAGACACACTGAAGAAATAATCACCTCACACCTTGTAATTTTTGAACAGCGAATTTAGTTTAAGCATTCCTTCCTACTTGAACGTTTGTCTATATAGATAATGCGGCAATTCACAGTATGGGTTTACTTTCAGTTGTTTTTCCATGTCTTTATAGGTTATAGATGAAAAAAAAACTGTTTAGAACTATTATATTCTTTTATTTACATTTGATAAGGTCTGTAATTTATTTGAATCGTCCTGAATGGCACCGTGAACTACTTCAAGACGAGAATTTTTATTCCTCATCTATCTGCCTACTGTTCATCTGCCATTACGGTATACATTGTGTGCACACTTTTCGGACAATTACAATGAATTACCCTGATAAATGGGTGTCTTTTTTCATTTCTAACGGAAGCAATATTGATAGTTTACATTTAACCATCTTTTATTATTTTCTGTGTTTATGTAAATTTTGCATATTATATTTCAAACTGATTCAAAGTTGTTTTTACCATGTGCCTCAACCTTTTTTTCATCTATTTTTTCAACAACATGATAACCTAAAACTGTTATATACCATACTTTGACACTGATTTTATTCTAACTATTGATTATTTTTTATCCAATGTACACTATTTTCAGGAAGGACCACCTCTTGGACCTATTTTTCGTGGTTGTCAAGTAGCGTGTATAGGATTCACATTCACTAATAATTCTCCGTTAAATGAACTAGGTCCAATACATTTTAAGCTGACATCAGGTAACGAAACGAAGTGTTCGAGTGAGACATCAAAGTTGTCAGCTAATCCAGAGTCAAATGAAGCATCACAACCAACAGAATCAATAACACCAACAACAATACTTGATGCAAAAGCTGAAAATGAGACTGGTGAATTTGGCTTAGTTGAAAGTCTACGAACAAAATGTGAAGCATATGAGGTAAGTTTTGGCAATTACAATTTCTATCACTTTTGTTTTCATTTCTTGTTTTCCACATGGAGCTTTGTGCTTCAAGCTTGAGTTTTAAACTTCCAGTAGAGCTGTGTTGTTGTCATTTTACAGGGTAAGGTGTCTAGCCTCCTCATTACCTATCTCCCGACCGGTAGAGTAGGTAAGGTTCTTTAAATTATCACAAAATATCGGCCCCTGTAATTCAGTGCACCTGCCTGACGCGTAATTATTTATTTATTTATTCACAATATGTTTTTCTAAAATATTGTGGTGCATAAAATTTTTAAAATCTAGTACTATTGTATTAAAGACCCTGTTAAATTTTATAAATTGGTTTTGTTTTATATTTCTATCATAGTTGTTGAGATGAAATTTAGGCAAACAATCATAATCGAAATATACTATGAACAAAGTTTGATTTTATTTAGTTGATAGGGGCTAACAGTGGAAACTGGGATGTGCGGTTCGTCCCTCTTAGAACTATCCAGTGGAATGTAGCTGCATCCCCCTTGACAGGCGATTAATCCAATGAAAATCTAACCTGAACATTGATCATTTCAAACGTCAAAGTCTTATCTACTAGGCTGCTAGCTTGATGAATTCCAAAGAGGGCGAAATGCACATCCTAGATTCCACTTCTAGTCACCATCAACCAAATACAGTTATGTCATCTTTCAGACATTGTCAAAGTGTCCGTACTAGGAGCCAATATGTAAACGGAGACCGAGCATTTGAGTTCAATATAAATCAGCTAATGGGAAAGTACTAAATTACTTAATGTTAATGCTAATCAACAATTACTTGCAATTCCATGTAATTGGTGATGAATCTCAACCTATCGTATGAGGGCTAGTGATGCTACATGGCTTCCCAACCTTCGGTAGGCTGAGCGAAGTTTAAATCCATGACCATTTGATTGGAAGTCGACAGCTTAAACCCTATAATCGGAAGCTCCACACACTAGATTGTTTAGATAAATATGAAGTTCTGTATTTTATTTAGAATGCAATCGATTGCATTCTATTGTTTTCCAAGTCCTGATTGATTCAGATTTTTTAAAACATATCAGCTATTCAGACGAAAATTTCGATCTTGCCATTTAAACATGTTAGTGATTTTGAAGCTATGTATTTTTGTTAGTCAAGTGATCGGATTGGCAAACTCTAATAATTCATGTTAAATGTTTAAAAAGAATGTTTAAATACCGTGATATTTGGAAACAGGTGTAATTGCTACATGATTTTCGTTCTTTGGAGTAAAATTTAAATTCACCTTTCCCTTAATTTCCTTTACATTTATTGTATTAAAATAGAGGTATTTGAAAATTTCCATTAAATTCACCACAGTCTATGTGTTTGAGATATCAAGATTTATGCATGGTTTAAACTATACTATGAAAATATATTTCTTGATTTGTCCGACTCGTAATTGTATACATACACTAAACTTTCACTTTTTACTAATGGATACACCTGTTAATAATGGCACAGAGTTCTTCATGTATATAATACTCATTTTGATACGATATCCACTTAGAACAGAGTTCATATTTAGACAAACCAGGGGTGCGATTGCACCAGTAACCTTGAACTGGCAAAATTGCACGGAAAAGAAAATTTCGTCTCCTAATTTAATTTCCAAGAGTTAGTTTGTAGTGATCAGATTTGTTACTCGTTAGTTAGAGAACCATTTAAAGTCATCAGGAAGTACTGGACAGTTGTTTCGTTCTAGTTTGGGACTCATTAGTAATACGTACCCAATGGCTGCTGCTGCTGGATTCAACATAGAACTTGGCACCGAAGTGCAGCAGTTCGAGTTGCCACGTTCCAAAGAGGACACAAAGGTAGACAAGAAAATGAGTGAAGAGAATCAATAGAGTTTTGACAAGTGTAAGAGTGAAACAGAATGAGTAATGGTAGAAAGGAATATGAAAGATTAGAGACTGAATACATCTGCGCCATTGACAAAGATTTTGAGCCATGTCACTTATTGTCTCCAGCCATTGATTCTTAGAGTCCCAAGGGTGGGCCCCAACCCGGAAGTCTGCATCTCCCTACCTGACTCAGTTTAACTGTCAGGGATTTCATGGATTGATGCCATGTTTTTGTTTGGCCACCACTTACTCTTTTCCAACCTGCACCTATATCAGCTAGTAATGCCCGTCAGTCGGGGGAGACGATGGTTAGGCATGCGCAGCACGTGGCCTAGCCATCTCAATCTGCGTAACTTTATAGCCTCTTCGATTGATTTTCCCTCTTTGCCCAACACTCTACGCCTAACGTCAACATTACTTACCTTATTATACCACCTAACATGAGAAAGAGGTGGTAGACATCTATGATCAAAAACAGACAATCTCTTCATGTCTTCCGCTCTCAATGGCCACGTCTCACTACCATAGAGAAGGACGGAGCGAACTGATGAGCAGTATACACGTCCCTTGGTTGATAGCCGAATGTCACGCTTACGCCAGAGACGGTGTAAGTTACCGAAAGCAGCTCGAGCTTTCTGGATCCGTGCTGTGATTTCGTCACCAATCAATCCGTTGGTGCTGATACAACTTCCCAAATAGGTGAAGTGGTCAACATGTTCTATCACTTCACTTCCTATCACTAAGCTAGGAGTTGACGTAGTCCATTCCTGTAGCAGCATCTTACATTTTACAGGGGCGAATCGCATGCTAAACATACAAAGATTGCTGCTCAAGGTGTTCAGAAGACTCTGCATTTTGTCAGCGTACCCAGGGCCTTCCGGTTACAAGGCAAACTAGTAGATCATTCAGCTTCTGGGACTCTGACTCTATGGTCCATGGTTCTACCAGTTTGATATTCTCTAGTGCAGTGGCCAGCCAATGTTATCGGTGAGTGATGATCTTCACTCCCGACCGGGTGGACCCCACTCGTCATGACTTCTCACTAGAACTCCAGACAACTTCGTCATGTACCTAGTCACTAGCTTGCCTTGTAACTGGAAGCTCCTGAGGTCGAACCTCGGTTGGTGTGTACAGCCAATGAGTCCCAAACTAGGACAAAACAACTGCTCCTAACTTAACCGTACCCATACCGTAATCTATTCTTAGCTAACCCTAATATAGCCCTAATTAGGTTAACCTAACCTCAACAATTTAACTTCTTCCCTCATAGAGTATATAAATAGTGTGTAGCTAAGTGTTTGCTGTTTTCAACGAAATTATCACTCAGTCTTTTTCTTTGGATAGTTTACTGCTAAAATAAAGGTACAAGTTTTAAATAAGCAAAGAAAAGAGCTCATATGATAGTTTTTTTTTACCCCTACTGTACAATAAAGTTAAATGTTAGTATTCTAAGCATGATAGTTGAATAAAAATAATCATTGTTGTATGAATGTCAGTCAATTTGCATACACCTTATATGAAGTCCTTTTTATATGTATATATATGTAGTCACTGAATCATTTACTTAGGATATACTTGGCTGCCAGATGTGTGACAGTCAACATTAGTTAATATCCTTGATTTGGTTCACTAACATTGCTTAATTGACAGCTTAATTTTTTTTCTCCCGTCGAATGTTTTTCTCTAAGATTGAAAGCTTAAAAATATTATTGATTTAATATATGTAATGCAATTTAGCGATCATTTAAATGTTTATATTATATATATGAGGTTTTTAGGGCCTCGTGATCAGTAAGTAGAGGAGCTGAAAGAGACAGGTACAATTTTTTATTATTACTAGAAAAGCACTTGGGAATTTTGACTGCATGTTATCGTTTTAGATGTAAGCTTATTTTCACATTCACTTATATCCATGATACATGAGCGATGTGCCTGCATAAATATATACCAAACATTGAAACTAGACAGTTATTTTCTATGATAACAAATATATGCCTAAATTGAACCCGTAGGGTATCGACAAATTTATTCGTCGAAAGCTCTAACTTGGCACAGTTAGCAATCTATGAGGTCCTTCATATATTTAACGGAATTTTGCCGGCTATTCGACTCGATAAATTTTGTATAAACATTTAGTGCTAGCAGAGTGTATTTATTCAGATAATCTGAATTGGTGCACTTTTTATTCAATGATTCTTCGTTCGTTCAGTGTGTGTGACTGATAAACAAATACAGAAAACTATATAAAAATTAACCATTCTTTTGGCATGCATCCATATCATACTAAACAATATGATCGATAGTGTTTAATTGTTTCAGTCATTGTATTTTAGAGTTTTGAATTACTCTCTGCAAACAACCCGCATTTTTCTGCGTGACTTAAATGTTCGAACAGGCGGTTACTCTTCACCTATCTCCGAACACTTCTAACTTCATCCATTCCTGCCACCATATATCTTGGCAACCACGTGGTATTTCTGCGTTTGATTGCAGTGTATTTCCTCTTCTTTTTTCCATTTTTGATACTAAATTTGATGTTGCGATAGATGTACATATTTTGTAAAAATTATGTGCCTATCTCTCATTCAATTTCATTAAAAAATTCATACAAGATACATATAGTGCATTCTTTGAAGAATATAGTACAAACTTATTTTCAAGTTTTGGTTCACTGCGATCCGATTGATTTCAAGTTCGATCGCGAACTGACTTCAGCTAGGCAACTACTGTAAACCAGAAAGTACCGGATAGCTGTTTCATCCTTGTTTGAGACTCTTCATCAGTATGCAGTACATTACTCCCTGGTCTTCAGTGTTTCTCTGAAGACAGCTTGTGATCAAAATTTAAGTCAATCAAATCCCTGAGTGTCAACACTTTAAAATGAATCATTTATTCACTGGTAACTGATTGCAGGATGAAGTTGTTTGAAGTTTTAGTTGGAAGTCGTGACCAGCGGGATCCTTTAAGTCGAGAGTGTAGACAGATACTCGCGTATGACATTGACTAGCGGTCGCTACACATGTCATGAATCAGAACAAGTTAGAATTCATGGGTCACTACACCCTGTCCCAGTGGCTAAATGGTCAACGAGATCTTCTCGTAACCTAAGAGTCCTGGGTTCTATCCCTGTCGGAGTCATAAGTGCATACTAGTAAAGGGTCCTAAACAAGGGCGAAACAGCTTTTCAGTACTCCTTGGCTTTCAGTGGTTGCCTAAATGAAGTCAATTTGTGATCAGACTTAAAACAGCAACTTAGCCTCCTGTTAAGATTTTACTATTAAGGTGTACAACTGGCTTGCCTTATAATGGTCATTATCGATAATATAGAGATTGTTATTGATTACGCTGCAACCGTGGTTAAGCGGTAGAATGCTCGCCCACCATGCACATGGTCCGGGGTTTGACTCCCGGCCAACACACTCCCGAACATTGCTAAGCCTGTAGTAAATCCGGTGAAGAGGGAAGGTTGAACGTGAGGCTAGCGACTCCACCCCATAAAAACAAAACCATTGCTACTGAAACATAGAAGCTGAAGTTTGCAGTTTTATGTTCCACTCGGAACGTAAACGAATAAATTATTTTTCTCTAACTGATATCAGTCCGTGATCAACTCGTAAAAACATAACTAAACCTTACAAACCAAACTATAGAGAATAAATTATTAACTAATATACTCTTAGTAAAATCCGTATAATCGATTAACTTTTGTTCATATAATAATTATTATTATTTCATTCCTTCATGTTCCCACTGAGACATAGGGCTTCAAGCTAGAGCTTTTGAATTTCCGGTAGTAGTGGTTTTATTTTTATGGGGTGAGTTTGCTAGCCTCACGTTCAACCTTCCCTCTTTGCTGGATTTACTACCGGTTTGGCGAGGTTTAGGAGTGCGTCGTCGGCAGAGAATTGCGTACAATTGTCCACAGGTATTCGCTCCCCAGTCTTTACTTCATTTCGTGATAGATGAGAAATTACATATTTTATGTAATAAACTGAATTTTTAGCTCTTGAATCTGTATGTACGTGTGCATGATTTGCTTCTTATACATACTTTTCTTTTTACAATATATAGATAAAAATAAAAGAATTGGAGGCAACTTTATCATCGCAATGTCATCGTAAACATGATGAAGAAGTAACTAGAAAAACAGTTTCAGTTTCTACAGAAAGTGTTCCAGTAAAGGAGGATATATCGCCTGATAATGCTGATGAGACATCGACAGTCATAAATTCCTTGACACAACAAGTTGAAGTTTTATCCCATAAACTGAAAGAATCAGAAACACAAAATCATGCTATTTTAGCTAATGTTGATTCACTTAAAAATGAGTAAGTTTCCGTACAGTTTTTTTTAAAAGAAATTTTAACAGTTTATATGTCGCCTTACACCCACCTTTCTCATGATATTCATGGTTGTTTATAATTTCGCATGACCAGTCAAATATGGTCAAAGTGAGATTAGAGTATCATACTTTGATAAATTCCGTGTATGAAAGTGGATGATTTACGGACATTTCATTTTGCCTCTACCTTTGTAACAACAGAAGACAAGGGTCAGGCAACAGATCGTTTATTAAGGAAACCAAATCATATTTATATATTTTCATGTACATTATTATAGATTAGTTAAGCAAACAAACACAGTCTTCTGACTGGTTGTTTCTCACTTAAAGTTAATCTTTCATCTATTCGTGACTGTTTCTTGAATGTCAGATCATCTATATGTTAACTGTATCCGCCTACGCAAAGTCTGCTGTGGTCGGTTTTGAATCAGTCTTTGTTCATGTTTTCTCACGACAAATCTTGAGAACGTAAACATTGACGTAAATTACTGTCTACCAATTTGGCTAGTAGACAGCTCTCACCATACCTTTCTCCTTCACATTTCTGCTTATTATATTTCTTTCGAACGTCTTTTTTCTCTTTTCTCTATCCTTATATGCTACATCGAGTGTAGCGACTTGAAATGGTAAACTTCTGTGCAAAGTTCTATGTTGAGACTCAGTCATTCAGTTAGTCTTCTTTAGCTGCATAATAGTTTAGATTCACTATCCCTATGCACTATATTCTATAGTTCCGTTGCTCACTGGTGAAACCATTGCATCTTGGAGGGAATATAAGTTTTCTTTAGAGTCACAGCATCGGTAGAATGGACAGGTAGTAAACCTATGTTCAGGAATTTCGACCCTGTAACGCTTAAAATCTAATAGTTTGTGGATGCCTTAGATTACAGCTTCAGTGGTTCTGTGGCCTATTTGTTTTGCATAAAAACGGTGCTTAACATTACATGCAGTTCTTTGATTTGTACACCAGACAGATCACTTTCTGCTCCTCCCTATAAACTAAAGCTTATTTGTAGAAAGCAGTTTTCATCTCCGGATGATGATTTATATTATAACTACTGATTGTTTCGTCCTAGTTTGAGGAACTTTGGCAGTACATATCCATGTTCCCACGGGGGGGAGCCTTCGGGTTATGAAGCGAGCTTTTCGACCACTGACCTATAGAATCAAATGGATCATGGATTCTAATTTTTGTCAGTTCGCAATTTATAGCTTCACCGACGATCAACTTCACCGGCGAGTATTTATTCTCATACCCAACCTGGTGGACTTCTGAGTAGAGCTCCAGGCAACTTCATTCTATAATCAGTCAGTTACTAGCGTGCATCAGATTAGTTTTCAAGTATTAGTCTGTAGGGATTTGATTGGTTTCAAGTTTGATCACGGATTAATAACAGTTACAAAACCATTGAACCGTCCCAGTGACTGAATGGTCGACGAGCTTGACTCATAACTCAAAGGTGGGGTCATGGGTGCTTAGCGCTGAAGAGTGCCAAACTAAGTCGAAACAAGTGTCCATTACTCCCCGATTTTCGGTGGTTCTCACTCCGTGATCAAAACTCTATAAACTAACACTCTAAGGATCTACTTCATAGATTGAGTAGCACTCAATTTGAATATAATCTTGGTAATTAGTTGAACTTTCAAATTGTCTAATTCCTTCGTAAAAGACGTGATGTACTCGTCTATATTTTTAAGTCATTGAAATATGATTGTTATTGATGATATGATGATATTGTGTCTTTAAGTATAATTACTTTCATAACTGATGACGATTTGATGAAAGTATTATATTTTGTCTTAATGAGAAAAATACTTACCTCTGATTAGATAGATAACTTAGGTATTCAGCAGAAAAAAGTCATTAGGACTTCTTTGTTTTTGTTTTCTACCCATGTGTCTGGTTTCATAATTTTCTCTCTCTCTCTCTCTTTCTGTACACATAACTGGTATTCCCGAACATTTGATTTCTACATGATATTGTTTGTGCATATTTTGCTTTTATCTAATTTCTTGTCTTATGCATATTGCACATATTGTACACACGTAAGAATATTGCTTCCTCTTATTGTAATTATATTTCTGCTTTTCACATCTTGATGAATCGCATTGACAGACTAGACTAGAATGTGTTTCTCTTTTATTGTCTTATATGTCTCCACCTTTATAAGATTTCAGTATTTTGCATGTGTGTGTGTGGGGGTGTGTTTGCGTTTGTTTTCGCATACCCAAGTTGTTACACTGCATCTCTGATTCCAAGAAGATAGTGGTATGTATGTGAATGCATCTAAGTTTAAAAAAGACTTAAATTGCTTTTTTTATCAATTAAGTTATCGTCCAGATATAGTATTCAAGTTATGACGACAACGAGTTAAGTTAAGCCAAGGAGTTGATTAGCTCTCAGACTCATAGTCAAGCCTTCGTTTAAAGCGTTAGTTTAGTGATCAAAGTGGTCTGAAGTTTTATCTTGGTTAGGGAACTTGACTTTCATTAGTTTGTCTGTTTGATAGGTCATACGGTGGAACAATATCAACATAAAACAATCTTTCTTACCTGGCCGTTGAAAGTGGAAAAATTAAAGGAGCTAAGTGTCTTTAACAACAGGTTAATGCATCCTGCCTCTCATGTTAAGTGGTTTAATATAACGAGTAGTATTGAGGTTAAGCGTACAGTATTAGGTGACTGGGGTAGGTCAGTCAATGAGATGGTGAAGCTACATCTATTGAGATGATTAGGACTTGTTTTACCCATGCTAAGCTGTCGCATTTCTCATTGAGCAATGTTAGCTGATAGGATTTGATGGGAAAAGAGTTTAGGGTGGTCAAATTAAGATCTGGCATCAATCCATGAAGTCTTTCGCTGTAGATTTAAGCTACCTGGGTAGGTGTAAACCGGGTGTTTGTAGTCCTCGAGACTCTTGGAACCAATTTCACCATAAAGTATACTTATTCGATAAAAACCGTACAGTAACTGAGTATTATTTATTGTTTACTGATGACGTTTCGAGAACAATTAATTGCTCGAAATCATATCAAGACCTTCGTGTGTGTCTGTGATTAAGCCATAAATTGTACCCGAAACGTTATCAGTAAACAATACTGTATAACACTGTGTGAAATTATACTCTTCCATAGCGCCCAAGTTCTATCCTTATATCTAAGATCCAATAGCTTGTGACTGTTGGTGATATGACTGGAAGTCGTTCTCAGTGACGCAGATGCGTGTTCACCCTTTGTAATCTACCAGATTCGTGAACTCATTATTCCTGATATTATTATTATTATTTTTCTCATACACTTACTTTGCATAGCGTAAACCTCAACAATTCATAAAACGAATCCAAAATTTTGCATACAAAAACCATTTCTACGATGTCTTTCGCTACCATAGTCTTAATTTTATCATATGATTCACAAAACTTCTCTATTTCATATTTTTTTCATTTTGTTTCGTTTTATTTCACTGTATGTTAGCATATTCCCATTTTATTGCTTTCGAATATGATGAATCCACATATTCACATTTCCCAGTGTACTCGAAATTTTTGTCATCTACTTACTCATGCCTATTGAACTTTGTGTTCTTTTTAGTTATTTTAATCCTTTGCGTTCTTCAAGCTTTAGTTTTGAAGTTTCGGCAGCAGGGGGTGATCGTGTTTCACAAGATGGAGCTGCTGGTCTCATGCCCAACCTTCCATTTCTACAGGGTTTACTACCGGTTAAGCGAGTTTTAGTAGTTCATCTGCCGGGGATGGACCCTGAACCACGTGAGCCGTTGGGAAGGTTTCCACCTCTGAACCACTGACGCACCAACTTTGTATCGACCCTTCTTTATTCATTTATACTTTTAATCAATTTGTGATTAATAATCATGTACACCAGTATTACCTCACTTTAGTATTTCCGATCGCTATCAAATTTGAACATACAGAATTACTAGTTAATGTTCATTGTAATGCATATATAAAAATATGATTGTATAGTTATGAAAATGAAATCATTCAATAGAAGATTTTTTCACTGAAATCTTTGTTTCATAGTTAACGTTTATTGGTTGCTTTACTTTTTTTCCCCTATGATATTATTAATTGTTTCCAATTTACCTAACTGTACCTTACAGACTCTCTGAATTACATGAGTTAAGGAAAAAATTGCAATCAGAAGTACAAGCTTTTGAAGAAGAAAATGAATCTTTGGTTAAACGTGCTTCAGATGCCCAATCATCTATTAGATTTTGGGAATCAGAACATAACAAAGTAAGTATTACATGAGTATATGTAAATATGTATTCAATGCATATCTCCAAATATGTAATTGAAATAGATATGGTTGAAGTTTCTTGTGTATATTCCATTTTTTTCGCTAACCTTTTATTCTTATATTGATGAATGACGTCAGAATGTGTTCATGTGGCAGAATTTTTAAAGAAATAAATGCCATCACATCGTAACGTGCCATTTTATTTATTAACCGCCAATTTTTACCTTATTCCGAATTTTTAAAGCATAGCCAACACTTTTGGTTAACACACTTTTCTAATGCTTTAATGATCTAAGTTTCCCGGCAATTATCATCTTTGCATCCCAACGGGCAGTGGCACATTGGCTTAAGCACTCGACTTTGATTCAAAGAGTCCTGGATTCGAGTCCCAATCCACCTACTTCAGCCTGTGCAACTGGGTAGTATTGTAACGACAGAAGACAAGGGCCAGGCAACAGATCTTTTATTAAGGAAATCAAAGCATATTTATATATTTTCATGTACATTATTATAGATTAGTTGAGCAAACAAACACAGTCTTCTGATTGGTTGTTTCTCACTTAAAGTTAATCTTTCATCTCTTTGTGACTGTTTCTTGAATGTCACATCATCTATATGTTAACTGTATCCGCCTATGCAAAGTCTGCTCTGGTCGGTTTTGAATCAGTCTTTGTTCATGTTTTCTCACGACAAATCTTGAGAACATAAACATTGACGTAAATTACTGTCTACCAATTTGGCTAGTAGACAGCTCTCACCACAGTATTATTATCTCCTGATATAATGAGTGTAACTTACAACCCAGTGGTGGCTAGTTGAGATCTGTCTAACTAATTAACCGAGGTCATTCAATTATCCCGATTATATCTGTCTGTTGGCCTTCGCAGATTGTAGTGTCTTACGGCAATTCATTCGCAGTCATCTGTGTTTAGGGTATCAAATTAAGTATTCATGGAACGCCAAACAGCAATATGTTTTTTCCCACATTACGCAAATTTAAACAGATCAAAATCTTTCTTTGTTGTCGATTAATTCAACTTTCATAACTGCACTGTATCATTGGAATCATTAAAACGGTAGAAGACGAAGACTTGGTAAAGGAAAGGAATGTTCATTTGGAAATTGGTACCTCTATATAGCCAAATTATGTACACCTTCAACGCACCATTTGCACAGATCTTCATGTTGTGGTACTTCTGGACTTCATGTTGTGTTTCTTTATGTTCCTTTGACGTCTCCTATGTGTCTCCTCAACGCTGTATTATTTGCCTTCTCTGAAATCAAATGTATCTCCCTGCCATTTGATGTTTTTATGCCGATGAACGTCTCTTTATATACTACTGATAACTTATCAGTAGCACTCGCCGCAATATGATTATCCCTTTTGTTAATCAAAGGTTTTATAATTCATCATAATTTATACCTCTTTTCTAACCTTAATTTAGTTTTCCATTTAATTGGTGGATGGTGACTAGCAGTGGATTCCAGGATGTGTATGTCGTCCTATTTGGGACTCGTCAGTTGGATGTACCTGCATTTCCCAGTGAGTGATGATGTTCCCACCTAGGCTCGAACCCAGTTCCCATAGTTTCAAACGCCAAAGCGTTATCCACTAGACCATTTGGATTCCACCGCTAGTCACCATCCACCAATTAAGTTCTAATTAAATGCCCAGACATCGTAGAAGCATCTGTACAAGAAGCCGACATGTCAGCTCGAAACCGAGCACTTCGATCCAATTAATCAACGGGAAAATCTAAAATTCAATTGAAATTAGTTTTCCATTGCTTTTATAAATGCTTAGATTCAATAATAAGAATGCTTAGAGAAAATGAACAGGAATATAAGAGTGAATATGATTTGGACTGTTGATGTGTTCACTAAATTTTCTAGTATAATATCGTTTGCAATTGTTTTGTATTCCTTATACCCCGTTCTCTCTCCCTATATATATATATATATATATATAAGGTTCTGCGTGAGAATAGGAGCCACACCCCTTAGAAAACAAACACTACAGCTACTGAAACTTCGAAGCTCAAGTTTGAAGCCCCATATTTCACTCAGAACACAAAAGAATAAAATAAAAATAGAAATCATCTGAGCAACAGTTCGCATTAAGGGTGCTCAGTGAGCATCTGAAGTGTTGTGTATAGGGGCTCAGTGAAGCAAGAACTTTAACTGAAAATTTTTGTCTTCCATGTATAAATAACAACATTTTTATTTTGCCTCATTATTTTACTTACAACTAGGTGCTTTCTGAATTGACCCGGTTACGTGAAGAATTATCATCACACCGTGAACATGTGAATCAACCAAGTCTAAATGATGTACATAGTTTGGTGCATAAAAATGATTCAATCCACTTAGAGAATGGTGTAAAAAGCTACAATGTACCTGCATCATCACCATCTTGTTCTTCTTCATCGTCATCTTCATCCAACTTGGTCAATGGAATACAAAATTCGCATATTAACAATCATCCAACAGATTCAAATGATCTACAAGAACGTTTACATGAAAGTGAAACTAAACTGAAACGAGTTATGGAAAATTTCATTGCATTGAAACATGAAGCACAAAATCTTAAATTAGGCTGGCAATCTGAACAAAAAGAATGGATGAAAGAACGTGAATTATTAGAAGAAAAGATTAAAACATCTGTTAGCCAAAAGGTAATTATCGTGTTATTGTGATGAAAATACCTTTCTACGCGTGTGTTAACCTATTTACTATTTTATAGTTAGAATTACTCTGTGTAGGAGGCGGTGCTTTAACTGTGCGATTGCTGCAAAGTTTTATTCAATCAGTTTAGAGACAGTCTAATATATGAATGAATTGAATATTCTGATTTTCGTTAATAGCGAAGAACTGCTTATTTTTTCATGTCAGTCATAAACTATACATTTTCATTTGGCATGCTACAAATGTATTATCATTCATTTAGTATTGTTTGCTTCACTTTAGTAATTATCCATAGGAACCGACAACTCCTTGAGTTGTATAATTTTCGAATGATAGGTTCCTGTTTCTATTCCGTGGTAGTTCATCCAAATACACCTGAGCACAATCCTGGTGATGTAATCCTATCCAGTTTTTCCAGCTAAGTTGATCTGGTCAATCTGCTGACGCGTTCGGCCCTGCGATTAGCTAAACAGTCATCCTGTGATCGTATCTGGTTAAAAAGAACTTATGGTTGAAATAAATGGTTTCCAGCTATTCATATCAATCACTTATTTATGGCATTTCACTTAATTTCGTGACTGACATTCATAGTATCAGGAAGGTCACATATTGTCACGTGAATATTTTGTGTCTCTATAAGAGGTTCTGCTAAAGTCTCACTGTTTATAAATATGAAAATAGAGTCGTCTTAATCAGCTGAGATTTCGCAAAAGGAAATATGTCATATTGTAATCATGAAGATACTTTTGTAATAGAGATTTCTTGTTTAGATAGTTGATATTAGTATAATTACGTTCTCTAAGCTGGATGGTTTGTTGGCTAAACATTCCTCGCCTTTGGAAACAACATCTTCGACTCAAACTGCAATATGAAATGAGCTTTTAGAATTCTCCATAAGTGTATGAGTCGTCTTTCCTAGTAGCCTTAAGCGTGATTGTTGGTTTTCAGGTATTTCTTCACTCTCTTGTCCACTTGCTCTGGTGTTGATTATGTTTTGTTGACCTGATGTGACATATTCTTTATTAGTTGATAAATTTCATCCATGTTAATATGTCTCTTGATTGCAGATTCATTTGAGTACCAGACTTCCAGGGATTCTCTAGCATTTTTAATGTTTTCTTCTTCTAAGATGTGTCCGTAGTTATCTATATGCAGTGATATGACGGAATAGTTATCATGTCCTTTTGAAAGCCAGTTTGTTTTCTTTTATCCAAAGATTAAGAAGATGTCCACCTTGACTAATATATGATGCTTTTCACATTTGCTGTAATTCATCTTGTACATAATACTGGTGTTTTGTTTGCTTTTACCATTGCGTCTTTTTGTTGACATAATACATATTGGAGTGATTTATTGGTTTGTAGGTGATATCTATTCCGTAAAGTTTCAGTTAGTCTTGCAGTGATTTCAGAGATGTTTTTCACATATGACAAGACTGTGATCTTTGCGTTTTCACTGGGTAATTTTGAGCTATCGGTTCGGTTGGGGGGGGGTGGTATTCTTTTTTCTATAAGATAATCATGAGGCATTTCGTCTTTATTCCCTTCAAGGCAGGAATGCTGCCTCGTTGTTCAGTATATTGGATTTCATTTTAGTTAAGTAGTATCACAGAGTGTATCGGTCGGTCGGTCGGTTTTCGACATAGAACTTTGCACATATTTGCGGCAGTTCAAGTCGCCACACTCCCTCCTTGTAGCACACAAAGCAAGAGAAGAAAGTAGGAGAAATGCATAATATAGACAGTAAACAGAGGTGTGAGACAAAGGAATAGTAATAAAGAAGAACAAAACAGTTTAATTGGAAATCATAAGTCACAAGGAGTGGATGCATCTGCGCCAGCCACTGAGAACGATTTTGAGCCATGTCACCAATTGTTTCCAACCATTGGTTTTTACCGTCCCAAGGACCCCAACCAGAAAGTCTACATCTTCCTACGTGGCTTAGACTAACTGTTGTGGATTTCATTGACTGATGCCATGTTTTGGTTTGACCGCCGCTAGCTCTTTTCCAGTCTGGCCCTATATCAGCTAACATTGCCCATTGTCGAGGAAGGCGATGACTAGGCATACGTAACACATGTCCTAACCATCTCAGTTGATGTAATTTCACAGTCTCGTCGACTGATTTCCCCGCCTTACCTAGCACTCGACGCCTAACCTCAATATTGCTCACCTTATTATACCACTTCACGCGGGAGATAGAACACAGACACCTATGATCGAAGACAGCTAATCTTTTCATGTCTTCTGCTCTCAATGGCCAGGTCTCACAGCCATAAAGGAGGACGGAGTGGACTGTTGAGCAGTACACACGCCCTTTGGTCGATAGTCGGATATCACGTCTACGCCAGAGACGGCGTAAACTGGCATATGCGAACCTAGCCCTCTGTATTCGTGCTGAGATTTCGTCTGAGATCAACCCGTTGGGGCTGATGGTACTTCCCAAGTAAGTGAAGTGGTCAGCGTGCTCTACCACTTCACTTCCTATTTCTAATCTAGGGGTCGGTGAAGTCCAATCCTGCAGCATCATCTTACATTTTACAGGGGCGAATCGCATGCCAAACATACGAAGATTGTTGCTCAAGGTGTTCAGTAGATTGCATTTTGTCAGCGTCCTCGCCTAGAAGGACTATATCGTCTGCATATTCTAAGTCGACGAAATTATCCTCTGGTAGCAAGTCAATCCCTGAGTGGCTGAAGTGTGTTAGGGTTAATACGTCTATGATGAAGTTGAATAGGAATGGGGATAATGGACATCCTTGACGGACGTCACTAGTCGTCACCACTTCAGATGACAACTCGCCATAAGCCCTCACCTGGCTGCATGAGTACGAGTAGAGTGCCTTAATCAGTCGAATGTATTTTCTCGGCATTCCCTTTACAACCAAGCATCGCCAGAGAACTTCTCGGTCGACAGAATCGAATGCCGCCTTTAAGTCAAGAAATATAATGATTGTCGGACGCCGGTAGGAATGCCTATGTTCTAGAATCTGTCGAAGGGTGAAGATATGATCAATACACCCTCTACCTGGCCTAAAACCTGCCTGGTTTTCTCGTGTTTGTGTCTCCCGAGCACCACTTAGTCTACGCAGTATTATTGAGCCTAGGATTTTAGATATTATATTAGTCAAGCTAATCCCTCTGTATAGAAAACTTCAGTCCTATTGTTTAATTAGGTTAGGTTTACTACAAAATAAAATTGTCATCTGTGAATTTTCCCTATTTGTTAGAATGAATAAGATATTAATCTAAAATGAATTTGCACTGACAAGGATGAAATATCCAGGAGAAATAATTTATTTAATGAATTGTATGAGTTGTAAAGTGGAGAAAAGCTTCTTTTGTCGACATCTTTGAATTCATGAAAACATTTATCCATTCGAGATTTGTATGCTGTACAGTCTTATATATTCTAAAATTATTTCATTATTGTACATTTACTGTCTTATTATGGTATTTCTAACAGACTATGGCCTTAGAAGATGAGTTAGCCACCTTGAAAGCGAATAATGCTGAACTTGAAAATAATATCGCTAACTGGGAACGTCATTTATTCGAATTGAATCAATGGGTTGATGATGAACGTGAGGCTAAAGAAAAACTTCATGTAAGCTGCCTTTATGTTTAACATTATCGATAAATACTGATTTCAGAATTTAATTATGCAAATATATGTATATATATATATATATTTGTGAGAATATTAACTTTTGTCCTAGATTTCATTACTTTTGAATTTAAATGTTATCTTTTTCTTTATAAACACACAACCAACGATATGATCACTTAATGATTTCTTAATCATGAAAATGTGAACTGTATTTTGGACTTTATATTATCTACCGTTTATTCTTCCTTATTTATAGAAAAAGAGGCAACTTAGTCAGTAATTATTTATAGGCTGGTGCCTTTTGAAATCATTTTCGTTTTGCTATCATTCAGCTGATCATTAATTGTTTGTTTTTTTTGTTTTTTATATTTTTATATTTTGAAGAATTTCACAGTGCGTTTAGTTTCTGAATTAGACGCATTACGCAGTTCAGGTTTAGTACAAGATTATGATCAAGATGGAATATATCGAAATGGTTATCAATCATGGCATACACCTTTCAATGCAACAAATGATGTGAACTCGTTAACCTATGATAGTCCTGCACCAAGTGTTATCGGTGAAAGTACACTTGACTGGCGTCAGCGTAAATCTACTAAGTTAAATAAAATGGAAAGATGGAGTCATGAAGTAGCCTTAAATAATGAGGTACGTGCAAGGGAACAAGCTGAACTACGTCTACAAGAAGTTGAAGCTCGTTTGAAAGAATTGTATGAGTAAGTGTTCTAATTTCATTGTAATTGTTTCTTCGTTTATACGTCTCCCAAATTAAACAGTAAGAGCGGGTCAACAATTTCATGACGTTATTATTCCTTTTATGTTATTTTTCCGAAAGAGTGAGTGATCGTTTACTATGCGCATTCATCTTTTCCTTCATCGGTCTACAATATTGTTAATTGTATTTTACTGTTAAACCATACATTACCGCATAATTAAGGCATCTTGTACATAACACATATTGTCTTATCACTGTTTAATTGGAGATGTGGCTCATAAGTTTAAACTGTCGAGAATTAGAGGTGGTCAAGTCAAAACATGACATCAATTTAAAAGTCTTGGACAGTTGATTTGAGCTAGCCACACAGGGGGGTGATTGCGTATCTTGGGGTGCCAAGAAACAATGACTGGAGACTTCTGGTGATATGGCTGAAATTCGTTCTCTGTAACACAGATACATTCACTCTTTGTAATCCCCCATTACTACTAAACGCTCATGTTTTTCCATGTTACTATTCTTTTCTCCTCACTTCCTACTTATTGTAGTTCTATTGGATCCTTTCCCCCTTCTTTTTCTACCTCTGTATGCTTCATTAAGTGAGTTAACTTGAAGTGCTGCACTTCTGTGCTAAGTTCTATGTTGAAAATCACTCACTCTTGACTTTCAAGTGAATGGGTTATGGGTTCGAATCCTACCCCACGTAGTTTAGTCTTGGCTACTGAGTAGTATCCTTAACCCTCATACAATAAGTGTGACTCGTAGCTCCTAGCATTTGAAAAGCCTGTCCTGGGTAAATAAGTTTGAGCCAAATAACTATCACTGCTTCTCATTTCCGCTGCAATCTGTGCAACTTTTTCCAGCTTCGAACATCGTGAGGACATTACATGTTTCCATGCTTATCTTTGCTTTCACATCGGTTGACTGGCTTCCCGAAGGCTTTCACAAGCCCGCGTCATTTCTTCTCTTCGATTTTAGCGAAGAATAAGTTTATTTTTTAAATAATTTTCTTCTGTACTTTGAAGTTTCTGTGGTGATTGAATTGATTCTCCAAGGTAGGTTCGCTAGCTACCTTCCCTCTTTTCCCGAGTTTACGATAGGATAGTGAACTAGGCGAGGTTAAACTGTTTATTAATAAGTATCACTGTTTAAGCACCTTGAATGATGAATACACAGATGTCGTCTTTAGTTGTAGTAAAAGTTATTTGGTGTTTAGATCAGTAGCATCAAATTTTTTACGAACTTCTGCTTGTCGATTTCAAACAGAATTGGTGAAAATTTCCGGATTAAAATGGTATCATTCTTTATTTTTCGAAAATTTTGTCATTATTCAGCTTCCCCGTTGTTCACTAACTCACTTCGTTCTGGCAGTTCTTGAACCTGATATATTGTAGGGTGCAGCAGGTTGGGTGTGGGGACAAATACTCGCCGAAGATATTGGCTAGGGGTCGCGCTATGTCGTGAATTGGCAGAAGTTAGAATTCATGGGCCATTGGATCGGATCCCAGTGACTTAATGGTATACGAGCTCGTCTTGTAACCAGAAGTTCCTGGGTTCGAATCCCAATGGGTGCGTACTGCTGAAGAGTCCCAAACTAGGACGAAACAACTGTCCAGTACTCCCAGGTTTTCCAATGGCTCTCTAACTAATGTCAGCTCATGATGAAAATCCTGTAACCAACCAAATCCCTACAAACCAACACTTGAGTATTCTATTTTGTTTGCACCTTTAGCGATTTAAATTAAATCTATAGAGTACTGTAACTCAAATGCCAAAATACTGTAGTACATATTTAAGATGTAATGACTAAGTAACTGCATACTGGTTGTAGAGAAATGGCTTGAACAATCTCTTTTCAGTCGATGACTTACGGGTTTGAGTCTCGCTCTGTCTACTTTGGCCCGGACAACTGGGAAGTATCTCCAGCCCTCTTATGATAAATTTTTTCGGGGTAATTGAGCTTCAACAAACACATACTGATTGAAACTCGAAAATACTCATCGCCACTATTTACGTTCTAATAAAAGGAGCCATATTTTCATTCAGTGTCAGGTTGTCAGTTCAGTACCACTAGACTTGTAACTCTGGTCCTTCATACACTTTGAATTTATTTTTTCATCCTTTTCTTACTGACTCATTCATTTATTTATTCACTATAGTTAATGCTTATTTGTGCTAAAGTGTCTTATACTCCACAGTTTGTTGTCGTTAATTGATTGTCATTACTATTATTGTTTATTCTGCGATTATTTGAATGTTTTCTCACTGTGATTCTGTGTTCTGTTTTTCTTTTTGTAATAAATGTTGTTCCTTTTCAAGTTGTAGCAGTGTTTGTCGTGTTGTTACTGTCTTTTTTTGTGACACATTTCACTGTTTACTTACTCACTAATGCTGCCCTGCTACCTGTTATACACTGTTCACTTGTGCATATATATATATGCACATGCATTCGTTTGTTTGTGCATATTATTAATATTTAATTGATCATCATCAGAGAAAAATCATGTGTGTTCCCTAAAAATTCGTATTCTTATTCTTTTTTTATCTTCTATGCATACAATTTCGTGGCGGATTAATTTATAATACACCACAGTTGAACTGTGAATGCAGTGTTTTATGCAATTTCTTTTCTTCATGTTTGTCTATTTAAGCTCAATTACTCAGGACAGATTTCTCGTATACCAGGCTGAAAGAGTCACATTTATTTTCTGAGTGCTGATGGTATTACCTAGTCCGCCCATGCTGAAGTGGAGTGGAGCGTGACTTGAACTCATGACGACACATCGGTTGTTAGCCTGGGTGCTTAAGCCAATGAGACACATTCCCACAACCCTATAATTTGTGGTTAGGTTACGAGATTTGTGGGGATTAGAATTAATTCAATTTCAGTTGCAAGATTTCTTTCTAACCGACATCATTAAAAACCAAAGAGTACTGGACAACTGTTTTGTCTTATTTTGGGACTATTAAGGGGTGTATATACTTGACAGAACAGCTGTCCAATGCTTCTCTAACTGATGTGGCTTGTGATCAAATCCGTAACCAATCAAATCCCAGCAGACCGATATTTGACGAAGTTAGAATTCCCACTCAGTGGTTGAATAGTCAACGAGCTTAGTCTCGTAACATGAAGGTCCCGGATTCACCCCCTGGTTGGGGGCTTGATTGAGCAATGCTGAGAAGCCTCAGAGTAAGACGAACCTGCTGTGCAATGCCCTTTGGTTTTCAGTAACCTCTCTAACTGATGTTGGTTCTTGATGAAATCCAATAACTCAAATTAAATTATAATTTTCGGTTTCCATACCTCAGCAAATGTACTTTTACTGTCCTACTTTCGTGTTTCATAACACGATATATAAGCAAGGTGTTTCTGATCATCAATCCTTTTAATGAACACATAAATGATTCGATATCATCTTTCTGTATTGCTTGGTTGTTGTATAATTCAAATACCAAGACAAAGTAAAGTTTTGCTGGTTATGTATTATAGTCTCTCTACTTCCATAATTTGTCTCACTTAACAGCATAAGTATGAAACTGAAAATGAAACACAGATGCTTAGTTCTTTTCTGATCGGGTTTTAGTACTTCTAAGATGCCTTAAGGTGACTCATATTTGCCCCATTTTCAAATATTAGTTTGTAGAGATTTGATTTTTTTCAACTTTAATTACAGATTAATATTAGTTAGACAAAGCCACTGAAAACCAGGGAGTGGTGGACATCTGTCTCATCCTATATTGGAACTCCCCAGTAAGATGCACTGATAACTCCACCACGGATCAGACCGAGGACTGTCAGGTTACTAGTCGAGCTCATTGACCATTCAGTCACTGGAGCAAAATCTGATAGATCATGAATTCTTGCTTCTGTCAATTTTCCGATTCTGATGACACCGACTGTTGGTAGTGGTAAAAGTTATGGATTGATAGAGGTCAAAACTCACAGTCCTTTCGGTTCTCTCCCAGTAACTGATTGGTCAAGGAGCTCGCCTTATGACTTGAAGATCCTGGGTTCGATCATCAGTTGGGTTGCGGGTGTGTGGTACAGAAGAGTCCCCAACTAGGATGAAAGAGGTGTCCAGCACTCCCTGGTTTTCAGTGGTTCTCTCTAAATGACATCAATCCGTGGTGAAACTTGAAACATTTCAATGGCTTTGTCGGTTTTCAATGCCTGAAGGATTCAAAGGGTGATTTCTGTATTCGCTTAAATTTGTTCCTTGAGGTATGTTGCTCACGTTACACTCAAAGAAGCTTGACAGAATGATGTACCTCTCTGAATGTTGACCTTTAGACCTTTCTACATCTGAGAAGTTGACATCATTTCCAGGTTGCCTGACGAAAACCTGTTACTGCTGACGTATTATTCCTAGTTAGAAGTACGTTTTTATCTATATATCATGATTACAGTTCGAATTTTTATAACTTAGAATAGGTGAATCGAATTTCCGGTACAAAACATAGACGTCCTGATGATACGGCTTCTTTACATTATCTTGTTTGATATTTCTGGCCACTTTATTAAGGAAGTTGTTCATCGGCGTAACGACCATTTCACATTATATGAATCGTGATCAAGATATATCTTATGAATGCTGCGAACCTACGTCAAAATTGTATTTGTATAAATCTCAGCAAGTTTTATAGCTTCATCACTGATGCATCCATCTGAATGTAAATGTAAACACGAAAATCGTATTTCAAAGTTTAAGCTTTTATTGTTATTATTTACAGTTAGAACTCAATTACATGGAACTTATTTATCATGTATCAGACTATGAGCCGCACTTATTATGTGACCGCTAGTGATACTACCCAGTCTTCCAGTGTGAACTAGGTGGGGCTAGCTTCAAAACGCTGGACACACTGGTTTAAAGTCGATAGCCTAGGTCAATAATCCACGTCTCAACTGATGTCTATCGACTTATTAAAGGTTTTAAGAATAAGTGGATGAACCGTATCGTAACTGTGAGCAAACCAAAACTGATACATATGCCCCATCAAGGTCTGCGTGGTTTGCTCTATTTTTAACGGGAAATTATTATTATTACTATTGTTAAAAAGAAACTTCTTACACTATGTAAACTAAAAGACGCACCACACAAAATCTCTTAGTTTACAGAGGGCTACTTGTACGCCTAAATCAAATTAGACAGTGGATAAGCGTCAGGGACTGCGTTACAATGGTTGCGGGCGATCAAAACAGGATCATACATCATTCTACCCTTCCAGATTTTGGAGCCCATGTACATCGAAGGTTTGAAATCAGGGTTTTCTAGCTCCCGTAGGTAGATACACGTCCATCAGCTCAGTTGTGTGCGTCAAACATTCTCATTTTCCCTTCCACTTTTATGAGTAACACCCCTGCCACGTGAGGGCGATGAAGAGGACCTAACAGCCAGGAGCTATGAACGCGTGGCCACATGAGAGCATTTTGAAAGAAGCCGACCGAAGTCTTCGTCGTATCACGTCGTCTATAGTGATTTTGGAAATGTTACTTTCAAGTCGAGAATGAATGTGCTCCTGTCTGTCTGGATTCAACATAGAACTTGGCACCGAAGTGCAGCTGTTCGAGTTGCCACGTTCCAAATAGCACACAAAGGTAGACAAGAAAATGAGTGAAGAGAACCAATAGAGTTTTGACAAGTATAAGAGTGAAACAGAATGAGTAATGGTAGGAAGGAATATGAAGGTTAAAGAGACTGAATACATCTTCGCCATTGACAACGATTTTGAGCCATGTCACCTATTGTCTCCAGCCATTGATTCTTAGAGTCCCGAGGGCCCCAACCAACCCGGAAGTCTGCATCTCCCTACCTGACTCAGTTTAACTGTCAGTGATTTCATGGATTGATGCCATGTTTTTGTTTGGCCACCACTTACTCTTTTCCAACCTGCACCTATATCAGCTAGTAATGCCCGTCCGTCGGGGGGAGACGATGGTTAGGCATGCGTAGCACGTGACCTAGCCATCTCAATCTACGTAACTTTATAGCCTCTTCGATTGATTTTCCCTCTTTGCCCAACACTCTACGCCTAACGTCAACATTACTTACCTTATTATGCCACCTAACGTGAGAAAGAGATCGTAGACATCTATGATCAAATACAGTCAACCTTTTTATGTCTTCAACTCGTATTGGTCATGTTTCATAGCCACAGAGAAGGACGGAGTGAACTGCTGAGCAGTACACACGTCCCTTGGTTAATAGCCGGATGTTGCGCCTACGCCAGAGATGGCGTAAGTTAGCGAAAGCAGCTCGAGCTTTTTGGATCCGTGCTGAGATTTCGTCGCCAATCAGCCCGTTGGAGCTGATACAACTTCCCAAATAGGTGAAGTGGTCAACATACTAGCTTATATCCTTATTTATTCTTCCATCATTTTATTGCTCAGGTATGATTTGTGGAAAATCCTTAAACTACACTCTGTTCGGAGATGCTGTATTCATAATTTAGTCATATTGTGCTCAATTGTAGGTTCACCCCTTTGGGATATATTGAAATAATTTATATTTACTATAATACAAATGTTTCATACTGGTTAAATATCATTCTAGGTAGTATTTAAAATAAAACTATTTAAGTGGATTTAATCAATTATCAGGTTTCACATCCTGTTTACTTTTTACCTTTACTTCTCTGTGTTTTTACAATTATCACAAAAATCTACTTTCACGAGAATGTAAAGACAATAGACATTTCAAATATTATGCAATAATTGGAAAAAATCTTCTGATATACAATCAGAATATTAGTTAACAATCTTTAAAGCAGTAACAACAATTATCACTTTTATTAACTATTATATATTTATAAAAAAAATTTCTTGTTTTTAATTTCATTTCTCATCAGTCAAACTAGCCAAAAGGATGTGAAGATTAAAGAACAAGATTGTATTATTGAACACTTGAATGAACAGTTACTAGAACGTAAGTTAAATCTCGTTTGATATTTCTTGTTGACTTCTTAAGCTTTGCAATTGTTTACTGAACAGACAATTATTGTAGTAGATGTGTAAAATATTTTTTTTTGTTAAATGCTTATCAATGCAAGTGTATGTACATAGTGGTTACGTATATAACCTGTAATTGGTTATAAATCTATGACCTGACGAATCAAAGTATCTAATAATGAATAAAATATAAAAGGTTGAACTCTAAATTAAAAAGAATCCGTTATAAACGACAGAAAATTTCAATGGTTTATTCTAAGCAGAATAACACAAATCATCAGAGAATGTATAACCTACCAATTGTTTATACAAAAATATATTCTTCGATATTCGATATAGAGTGTACGATAGTTTTATTATCAAAAGATGTATAAATTCATACGCATCAAACAGATGAGTAGGTCTTAAAGGTGAAGGATCAAAAGAAGAGAAAAGAACTTCCTAGAATTCTCAACGATAGTCTCCAAAAGTCTATAACATATCAGAGAAGACAATAACAAAATGCTTCACGATGGTTAGTCTTTACGTCGGGTTTGATTGTGATCATATTGCAAACTCGATTGGCGGAATTCAGTCACATTACCAGGTACTACTATTAAGACATTAGGCAAAAGACGTTACTTGTGTGTCAGTCGGTGCTTAAACGGTAGATTGGTCGCCAACTACACATGTGGTGTGAATTTGATTTCCGATTGACTCGCTTCTAAACCTCGTCAGTATGCTTGGAAAAAGCGGAAACATTGAAAGAAGAAGAAGACCTAACACTGCCTACGCTGTATGTGACTAATCTGTGTGTTTACAGCAATAGCATTTTGTTGACTTCAACAGTCAATCAATGGAAGAATGATTTTCAAAAGGAAGATTGTTTCTCGCCTATCTGGTTGGCTTTTATTCACTTCTTATACTCTAAACTTATTACTGTGTGATCTCTGTCATGTATTAATTTCATATGAGTATTTTCTAGTGTCAATGAGAGAATATATATACGTTGAAATAACACACTGATGTTTAACATATTTTTTTAAACTCTCACTGTGGCGTGTACATATACTTTAGAACAGTAGTAAATGAATCATGCTTTCTTCTGAAGTATTCTAAAAGAAGGCAATTGTATTGTTTATTAGTCCATACATATCGTCACCTGTCTATGATATGGCATTGTTTTCAATTAACCAGACTAGTTTAACTACTACTAATAATAGTAGTACTAATAAGGCGTTACCAATTAACTTTCTTTTGAGAAATTCATACACAATAAGTGTAGATTATGGAAGTAGACTGGTTTTGCCCTTTTTAGTTTGTCTTTATAATTGAAACCATCTGTACATGTGTAAGTGTATACGCTTGAGTGGTTAGTTAGTCATCGTCTCAGGTATATACTACCGTAAATTAGAATATATATATATATATATATAAAGTAGTGTTCTTTGAACAGGTGGTGGAATTATTGATCTACACCCAAAAAAATCTAATGTGTTAAGTACCTTTTTTGAATTTGTCTTTACTGCTATTGTTTGCCTGATATGAATTATTCAGTGCGTGAACTTTTCAACTGAACACTATTCAGGCCTTGGTGATTTATTTAACAAATACAGTCAGCAGTATATTTTGTCTATACAGTTGTTACGTCAGAGACTGACAGTGTTCAGCATACTTTTATGCTGCACAATGAACTGCATTTCCACTAACCATGGTATAAGTATTTAACTTAAATATAGAATAACATTGGCTACTGTTATTAGACTAATTAACGTTTTCCTGTTATTGATCAATATGCATTCTGTGAAAGAGTATGGGAATATAAACAATGGCAATATGTCCGAACGGTTAAAGCTTCTGTATTCGAACACAAAAGTTGTTGTTATTTTGTTTTCAATAGGTATACTAACTGGCAATATGTATATATACATTTATTTATCTCTCCTTTTATCTATTTTCAGTTTCAAATCAAGCACGCCTATATCGTATAAATAATGATGTAAGTTTACAGTAAACAGTTTATCCTCACACTTATCTAAATAAAGTTTGTTACATGATTCGCTTGAACTAGGATATTTATCGTGTAGTATGTACTAAAAATGGAGTAGTTTTATTGTTTTATAACGAAATGGTATTGAAGAATTAGTTTGTAGGGATTCTAATTGTTTCAAGGTAGAGCACGGATTGATATCAGTGAGAGAACTATTGAAAACCATGGACAAAACCTGAACAACTGCTTCGTCCTAGTTTGGAAGTCACTGGCACTAGGTACCCACTGCCTTTCGAAACCAGCACCTACAAACTAATTCTTGAAAATTAATCTGATGTTCGCTGGTGACTGGCTACAGGACGAAATTGCCTGGAGTTCTAATGACAAGTCATGACCAGTTGGGGCCATCCAGTCGGAAGTGAGGATGGAGTTCCCACCCATGACATTGATTGGTGGTCGCACTAAATCACGAATTCGTAGGAGTTAGAATTCATGGTCTGTCTGTCTGTCTGTTTTCGACATAGAACTTTGCACATATGTGCGGCAGTTCAAGTCGCCACACTCCTTGTAGCACACAAAGGAAGAGAAGAAAGTAGGAGAAATACATAATATAGACAGTAAACAGAGGTGTGAGACAAAGGAGTAGTAATAACGAAGAACAAAACAGTTTCATCGGAAATCATAAGTCACAAGGAGTGGATGCATCTGCGCCACTGAGAACGATTTTGAGCCATGTCACCAATTGTTTCCAACCATTGGTTTTTACCGTCCCGAGGACCCCAACCAGGAAGTTTACACCTTCCTACGTGGCTTAGACTAACTGTTGTGGATTTCATTGACTGGTGCCATGTTTTCGTTTGACCACCGCTAGCTCTTTTCCAGCCTGACCTTATATCAGCTAACATTGCCTATCGGTCGAGGAAGGCGATGACTAGGCATACGTAGCACATGTCCTAACCATCTCAGTCGATGTAATTTCACAACCTCGTCGATTGATTTCCCCGCCTTACCTAGCACTCGACGCCTAACCTCAATATTGCTCACTTTATTATACCACTTCACGCGGGGTTTTCAACATTGCTGATAATCCACGGAGGAACACGAAAGCACAATCTTTCACCAATATAAAATAGTATGGAATACTATTTCAGGTTAGACCACAGATTGATATCAGTTGAAGGACCACTGAAAAAATCAGGGAGTACTGGACAACTGCTGTTTCATCCTAGTTTGGGAATCATCGGCAGTACGCATCCACTGGGGTTCGAACCCAGGACCTTCCGGTTACAAGGCAAGCTCGTATAGCATTCAGCCACTGGGACCCGATTCAATGGCTCATGAATTCTAACTTCTACCAATTCGTGATTTAACGCGACTCCAACCATTGTCATTGGTGGGACATTCATCCACACACGTGACATCTAATTGGACTTCACTGGTCACGACTTCTCACTAGAACTCCAGGAAGCTCCATCCTGTAGCAAGTCACTAGCGAGTATCAGATTAATCTTTTAAAAACTATGCCCACTCTCAACTCTGAAATCTATGCGTTAAGTTTTGAAGTTCTTTCTTACTACTAATATAATCCTAGTGGCTTCACTACCGTCCTCTGATTGCTAATCCTGAGAGTAGGTGGAAAAAGCAGAGTGATGGTCAGTCCATGATCATATTAGCTGCGTGGAATGCAGGATAGTTTTGGTAGGTTAGCACCTATTGGCGTACTTCGACTGTTCCAGGTGTTGTCTGAGAAATAATTCGAATCATTGATTCAAGATGTTATCAACTATGACTAAGAAATGGAATCACAATGGCAAACATGCTGCAATTTCCTCCCTTCTTCTCTTTCTGAAATCATGAATGCCCTTTAAATACTCTTGATTAGCATAAGTACCTGTGTTTTATAATCCTGTTCCTCAATAATTCTGTTTCTTTTTCTGTTTACTGGATTTTTTATGTGACACATCGCTCGGTTTACCCATAATTTACCAGGATTGTGTTTAAATGATAATAATAATAATTTTCACTCTACAACTGTTGAGTAGCTAAGCTCTCTTTGTTATTTCAGTTAATCTGGCATTACTTCACTGTGGTATAAGAGTGTACAAATGAATATAGGCATTAATTTGATCATTTCCGTAGCTTATATTATCCTGCTAAATTAACTGATAAGCAGCTACCGTTTATATATTATGCATGTGTTATTATGTGTGCGTGAACTACAGTCTGTTTACATTGATTTCCATCAATAATCTTTATTATTCAACTACAATTTTCTAATTATGCAGATTTTGTTTATATTTATGTATATTCATAATTGGCTTTTCTTATTTCATATTAACATTAATGGAATCGATGTATGGAGTATATATATATATGCATATGGTTTGTCAATCATTTGTTTGTCTATTCAAGATGATGGAAAACTCCTCACTATCTCTATGGTTTGCTTTATGCACTTATAAAGGATTTCGTTGACTAATACAAATAGTTTTATGCATCACACATCATTAAGCATATATGTATACGTATGTTGCATTTTTATTGACTGACATTGGGTCGCCTATAAAGGTGATTATTAAAAGTGAATATGCCCATGTCATTAGAAATAAAAGAATAATGTGTTGTTGGAAGGAGTTTAGACAGACTTTTCACATTTGCCTTTTTTTTCTCTATTTTTTTAACTAAGCTATGGAATAGAATTATTATTATTATTATTGTTCCCTTGGGTTCCTAGTGGAACATAGGGCTTCAACTGCACGCCTCCACTTGTTTCTGTCTTCTGCTATACTTTTCACTTGCATCCATGTTAGTCCATAATGTTTCAACTCTTCTTCACACGATCTCCTCCATATCACCCTTGGACGTCCCACTCGCCGCTTCCCTTTCGGGTTCCACTCGAGGGCCTGGCGCGCGATTTCCAGATTGGTTTCAGGTTGGTGAATGTGTTTCTCGCCTTTCCGATTCTCGATTTGACATCCTCGTCCGTTCCTCCTGTAGTTGAGACAATGCTCCCTAGATAAGTGAATGAAGTAACCTCTTTCAAATCCCTCCCGTTGATGGTGATTGGCACTGGATGTTGCTGCTGTTGGAATAGAATAGTTGAGGTTATTTAGGACACTGAAATAATTCCACTATAACATTATAAAGTTTAGGCTTTGTGTTTGACCAAGGTTCATTCTACTTCTTGATTGCACAAATTCATCTTATCCAATTATGTGGTCCATTTTTAGAAATATGAATTTAATTATTAGACCTATGCATTCGGACACCTAGAATAAGTGTTGCGTTTATCTCCTAGAAGAAACACCAGTGGTCTCAAGGCTGCAGATATGTCTTAGCTGATGAGTGACAACAGGCACCAACAAACCTAGGTTCAGGATTTCCTGCTGATTTCCTTCAACTACCTTATACCAATTTAATGTTCGTTGTAAACGCAGTAATACAGTATGTGTGCATTTTAGCGTGATGATACATTAAAACGGGTTTAGCTGATTTATATACAAATACTCGTCAAGTCAGTTCTTCTATATGGGTCAGAAACTTAACACGCGGATGACGAGAAGCATTTCCAACAGGTGGATTTTTTATAAACATCTGTCTTCGATGGCTTCATATTAAAAATCAAATGACTAGGGAGAATTCGCAACAAAAAACTCAGGGAAAGAACCAATCAACAAATATCCCGAAGAAAATGGAGGTGGATTGAAAACACGTTGAGAAGATCGTTGGGAGACATTGTACTCCAGCCCCTAAAGTGATACCTTAATGGGAACGACGAGTGAGTCGTCCGAGGGTGACACGGAGGAAATGGTATGGAGAGGGGATGAGAGACTATGGGAAATCTTGAGGCCAGGAAAAGAGGACTACAAAAAATGGGATAAAGTGAAGATGTGCTGTTGAAGCCCTATGTTCCACTCAGAACCCAAGGGAACAATAATAATATACTTGTTAATCCCTGACTATCCTTCCTAATATTACACATTTGTGATCAGGCAGCCTGTTTGAATCACTGGGCTACCCAGATTGCTTTCCACCAAAATGCTTAATTTCGTCTGGATTTATCATTGTTTTAATCGTCGTTATATCAAGTGACGTATACATGAAGTTGCGCTCCGATTTAACTTGCTGTGCAATTCTTCAACGAAATGAAGATATACTTCAGATTATTACTTTACATGTAAATCCTGTATTAAGAAAAAAGTATTTTGGAAATAAATAGGCTGGAAATTTTTGTACCATATGTTCGCATATTGAATGATATAAAGCTCTAATATTATTATTATTTTCTGGAGGTGTCGCTTAACTTTCTTGCATGCGCTCTAAGTCTTCATGAACTCATTAGTTTTACAGCTTCTTTGCTGTTAACTGATACATTTGTGTTCACGTCATTATCATGATTTACTTTGTTTTGTCAAACGGTCAATCAGCTAAGTTTCGCACAGTATCAAGTATCATATTCCCTAGGTGTAATATAACTTTCGGTATAATAAATAGTAAATGTAATCCGCTGAAGTTACTGGGATTTCTTCGTTAGTTAGTATTTAGTGCTTTATATGCTCATTGTTCTGCAGTCACCATATCACTTCCTACCACTTTACTACAATAGTGCAAAACAATGTAGTCTTCGGTGAAGGATTTTAAGGCATACTCTGTAGATTCAGCAGTTCCAATAAACAATTCTTGTTAGTTTGTGTTAGTAATTGTTGATTGATAGTCATATTTAGACAACAGGCTTCATAGTGATGAAGCATATACAATTGCATCTTCACAGCTTCATGCCACCATATATCCTATCCCATTAGAAATGCTTCGTTATTACTTCCATCATACTGGCACTCATTTAAACTTCTTTATTTAACATCACTCTTCTGCGTCAAATGATTAACATTTACAGAAATTTTAATTATATGTATATTTTTTGGATTAGATTGGATCAAATAAAGGATACTATTCGACAAGTTCATGTTTCCTAAGATTGCGGTGGGTAATAACTCTAAGTTGTGTCACATTTGTAGATTTCTTGGCTCCGTTTGTCTGTCTGCCTGTGTGTGTGTTAGTTTGTGTGAAAAATTGGTATCAGCCAAATTTCTTTAACTCATTTGTATCTTCTTTCTTGTCCTTCTTTTAGGTTGCTGTCTTTTTTCGTTTAGTTTTCTTCCGTCATCATTGTAGCAACTTCGTATATATATACATATATATGTATGCATTTTTGCAGACATGTGCGCATATTTGTTGCATACTATTAGTCACTAGATATTTTCTGTTTTGTATTTTGAATTCTTTTTTAGACGGCAAATGATACAGTCAATCTAATGCAGGTTAGTTACACAATATTGTTTGCGTTCTGTTTTAACTTACTGAATTACAACTTACTTTGTGTTTTTTTTAGTCATTTTGAAGCACAATTATTGTGTTCTGATTATTTGCCTTTTCTTTATCTTACTAGACTTACCAAATTGAAATATTTTACTCATAATTTTCGCTTTGGTAGTTCAATGGTAGAATGCTCGCTGTTACCAACGCACGTGATTCTATTTCGTGTCTCCACCGATGCAATCCTGAACCTCTTCTCTCTTAGCCGGTCATGATAAGCCCGGTAAAAAGAGAAGGTTGGGTGTGAGACTATCAGCCTTACCCTGTAAAAAAAATAACACTATGGCTACAGAAATTTCAAAGCTGAAGCCTAATGCTGTATATGTTCCACTCAGAAAACGTAATGGAATGAGGAAAAAAACTCATAGTTTTAAGAACTTATTTTCAGTTTAAGCTTATGCGTATTTTTAGAAATATATTGTCTCTAAGTTTGAAGAGATAACACTTGATGTTTAGTGCTTTTTATAATTTCATTTTATAACCTGAAATGTAGTTACTGGTCAGGAGCATTTTATTATCAATCATTGAAATATGCACCTATTACAGTTTCTCATTTGGTCGGTAGTAAATCTCTATGTATATTGACTATCCTTAAAACGATTCTCCTCATTGTTTTATTAAAGACTTCAATGACGTTTACAACTTGAAACTTTCCACTAAGGCTTCGTAATTATGAAAATTGAGTTGACCTGTTTAACTGATGGGAATCCATTATAAGGTCACTTCTCTAAGAATCGGAAAAATTTATTTCCCGATACTAATTTAAAACAAGTAACAAACGTAAATAAAGCAAGATTTAGTGACTCCATCAAATTTTGGTAGAACTCTTCAGCTGCATACTCTACGTACAGTGATATATACCATTAGAATTACATTGGAAAATATAAGACTAATAAATAAATAAATGAACTACACTAATTCAGTCATGCAACAAGACACTCCAGACTGTGTTTTTCAACTTGAGTGTGTTTCTGGAAGCAAGTACGTAGGTCGTACTGAAAGGCGATTGTCGACTCGCTTGATGGAGCATTTACCAAAGTGGTTGACAAACAGCTGAAGTCAAAGTGCTAAAAGGTTCAATAACAAAGCATCTTGTAGACTATGGACACAATATTGGCGTTGTCAAGTTATTCACTGTTGTCAGCAAAGAGGAAGATGCTCGCAATTGCTTAGGCTTGTGCAATTAGAGTTTATAAACCAATTTTCTGGATACAGAAGGTGTTGGTCACGCTGAGTCTACCGCAGTAACATTTTTTATTAACTCATTGCTATTATTTAATAATTGCCACTGTAGCATTCAGAACACCATATTCAGTGAAGAGACTTTTCAACGAATTGTATTTTAATTGCATTTCATACTACTATTATTATTTCATGTATTCACACCTTTGATCCAATTCCCTCACCGAATGTAATTTCTTAAAAACCATTTATACATGATTGTACAGCTTGATAATAAATTGTTATTATTATCTTTGGTTCGTTTCAAACTATCCTTTATCAGCACTCGTTCCAGTATTGTTATTATTATTATTACCATTACTATTTATTACCAATATTATTCATTTTACAATTCTCGATATATTCAAGTTCTTTCTCCTATAATTAATTGCTTAAATGGTGTAATTGAACTGTGATGTATTATTATCTCAATTTCAATTTCTCACTCCCAACTACCTTCTGAAATTGACCTGAAAAACATTCACACATGTCGTTTTGCATGATTGATTCAATGTAGCTTATATTTACATATCAGTCTTACATCTCCCAGTGTAATTCTAATGGTGTATATATCAGTATATGTAGAGTGTCAAGCTGAAGAGTTCCACCGAAATTCTATGAATCCATTAATCCTATTTTGTTAACGTTTGTTGCCTGTTTTACAGTTTAAAGTCCTTTATTGACAAAGACTTGCTTTCATGTCATATATATACACTCGTTTCCTTCCTTCTGAGTGGAACATAAGGCTTCAGCAGCACATCTCTAATATCCTCCATCCTATACTTTAATCTTGACCTAATTCAATGACTTTCCACAAGCTTTCATTCCCTCTTCACACGATCTCCATATCATTCTCAGGCGCCCAAATTGTTTTGCGTTCGTTTTCCATTCAACGGTATATATTTATATAGTGGTATTTATGTGTGTATGTTCAGTAATGTGTCAAGAGTTTATGGTTTAAAGTAAAAAATAATATGAACGAACACTCGAATTCCCACATATTTACATACCGGTTTGGTTCTTAATTAGGTTAGATAATCTTGCGATATATATATATATATATATATATATATATATATATATATATATACTGTTTCTTCGTTGTTCGTTTGATATATTGACTGATATACATTAGTATAATTTGTTGCTATGGTCTGTCATTATTCTAACCAATCAACTCGAATATGTATATATACGTCCTGTTTCCTTGGTCAGTCACTCAGTAATTGTTGCTGACATCCAAGTTCAATTCTTGCAGTTTGTTATGATTAATAATGATGCTGGTTGTTTATATCTCAATATAAGCAAAAGGATTCAATCCACCATTATATGCCTTAATCAATAAGCAGAAGTTGAAAATAGAAAATCACTGCATGTTATCTCTGTAATCTTGATCAACAAAGTAAGCGTTTACTGGCTCAACGCCAAGCATACTGGTGGGGAACTGCCCTACTGCCTCCTTTAACAATTAGGTAATTGAGGTTAGGCCAGCAACCCCACGTTAAGGAAACAAAAAAGGGTTACCTGAAGCGCAAGGGAATTAAATTTTTGAAAAACTAAAAAATAACTTTCAAGTGTTTGCTTGCAGGGATTTGACTGGTCACAGGTTTCATCATGAGCTGACACCAGTTAGAGAAATATTGGAAAACCAGAGAGTATTTAACAGCCGTTTCATCCTAACTTGGTACTCAGCATCAGGACGCACGCACTGGGGTTCTAGCGGAGCATCTTCAGGTTATAGGCGAGCTCGTAGACCATTCAGCTACTGAAACTAGATCTAATGGCCTATGAATTTCAACAACTGCCAGTTCACAGCGTATAGGGCGACCACCAGTCTATTTCATCCTGGAGTAACTGTCCTCTTACCTGACTTGGTAGACGCCACTGGTCACGACTTCTCAATAAAATTTCAGGTAATTTCTTGTGTAGAGCCAGTCGATAGTGAGCATCAGATTAATTTTCAGGTGTTGGTTTGCACGTATTTGATTGTTTATAGCTTTGGTCGTGAGCTGACAACAGTTAGAAAACCATTGGAATACCAAGGAGTACCCGGACAATTGTTTCGTCCTAGTTGGAGACACCTATGACTCCACCGTGGACCGAACCTAAAACCTTCGGGTTACGAGGTGAACTTGTACACCATTCAGCTCCTGACTGACCCTGTAACAAATCATATCCCTACAAACTGACACTTGAAAATTGGCCTGATATGCACCAACAATTGGCTCTTTACCTGGAGTTCTAGTGACAAGTTGTGACCAGCGGTCCAACCAAGTCGTACATGAGGAAAGATACTCACCAGTGGCCATTGGCTGGTGTTGCGCTATATATATATATATATATATATATATATATATATATATATATATATACATCGAATTGGCAGATGTTGGAATGCCAATGAGGTTTGCCTCTTAATCTGAACGTCCTGGGTTCGAACCCCGGTGGGTACGTGCTTTGCTGAAGGGTCCCAACCTAGGGAGAAACAGCTATCTAGTACTCCCTGGTTTTTCAGCGGTTCCCTAACTGACGTCAGCCCGTGATCGAAATTGTAATCAATGGTATATATGGATTCATATATGTTAATGAGGGATTTATAATTTTGTCTGGTTACTATTACGCGACTAACATTTATTAAACTTCTTATCTCCATTTTCTCATATTTTGAAGGTCTGAACATATTTTCTTCATCTTTTTATGTCACCTTTTAGAAGGCAGTTGCAGACAATGCTGTCGAAAATAGACGTTCTCTTCCTTCACTAGATGTCAACAGTCCGTATACCTCTACACCACTTCAACAGAACTCATGGACTAATTTAGATCCCTCCAATGTTAATCAAACATATTCTTCTACGCATAAATTTATTTTCGCCACTTTTTGTCAACCAACAAAGTGTAATGTTTGTGGTACTCTAATACTTGGTCAAAAATGGCAAGGTGTTCAATGTCAAGATTGCCAGCTTAAGTGTCATCATCGATGCAGGTTATCAGCACGTGCTGTTTGCTCTGGAACTGCTGTAGCATCCATGGGTTAGTTTTAGCAATACTTCTTATCATTTACTGTTGTATTCATCAGTTTTCTGTGGTCTTACGCTTAAGTTAACAAATGTTTGTCTGTATCATTCACTTCATAATCTAGTCCAAGGCTGTTGCCTCACTGTTAGTTACAGCTCAGTAACTGTCTGTTATGATAAATGTAGGTTTTGGTGTAGATTTTGTCGCGATCTATTTAACCGGTTAGAGAACTATTGAAAACCGAGGAGAACGGGACAAATGTCTCACTCTATTGTGGGACTTTTTAGCATTGGTTCATCTTAAGTTTTATAGTTACATGAATTTGTAATAATGCTGTTTTATGTGTAGGTTCAAATAGGTATTATAGTGACTTGTGTCATAAGTTGTTTACTGAATGCATCGATTTTACTTGGAAACTCCTAGACACCATAATATGTAATCTGCTTAACTCTGTAATTGGTACCTAAATGACTGACTGGTTTCATCACAGAACTCTTCACTCAGAATTATAGCAGTTTGAGTTGCCACACTCCACGTAGCACATAAAAGAAAGAAAAAAGATCTTCAAAAGGACTTTAATATGCAGAAATGTGACAGAGAAAGAACAGTAACATGGAAAAACATGTTGGTTTAGTGGATGTGAGAGATCACAAAGGGTAAATGCATCTATGCCACTGAGAAAGATTTTGAGCCATATCACCAATTGTCTCCAATCATTAGTTCTTAGGATCCTGAGGACCCCAAACTGGTAGCCTACTCCTCCTTTCGCTGCTGAAACTAACTTGGCGTTCTCATGGAGTGATTCCAAATTTTGGTTTGACCACCGATAGTCATCAAAAATCATACATATGGTCGTCTGAAATCTATTCGCTATACTGTATTGTTATACAGCTGAATAAAAATAATCTGAATACCAAGTGACGGTTTGACTTATTCGGAGGCAGATGTATTATTCGTATAGTCGGATCAGTTCACATGACATTCAATTAGAATTTATGTCATGTCTAGAAAAGATTTTTTCTGAAGTGTTATTTCTGTAGCTGATTGTCTTCATTCTGATTACGAAGATTGTTTATTGTTAACATAATGGATCAGTACTGTTTCGTATTTTCGATAACAAGATCTCGTATTTGTAAACCATCCTACTGAACTTCTAGCGTGACTCATCAACTATTAAGAAGTGACCTAGTACATTTTTTCTTGACTTCAAGTTTCACCGATAGATTTTGATGAAAGAAATACCAACTGCATTTAGTAATAGAAGTATGTAAATCACATTGGTGAATTAGTGCGTTTTAAATCACCAAAAGGTTTAAATGTTACCTGATCATAATTGCAACAGAGATATGGAGTAACATAGTTTCGAGTGTACAGTAGTAGGTGTTTAGAGTTTACTGACATTCACTGCTGGTACTTGTTGAAATGTGTATCATGTGGAATTGACTTTACTGATATAATTCGCTTATCTGACTTTCGGTTATTATTATTTTTTTAACAACCACAACTGTTTTCGGGTTTGACCACTAAATGCTATCGAGCAGAGAGACATTGAGAACTGATGTCAAACTTAAGATGAATCAGTCAAATGCATGGTGTTCTGCATACCTTGAGTAAAAATCTTCAAATGTTTTCGCATGCATTTCTCTCCTGTCAAATGTAAGGTAATGCTACAAGATTGGAATACGTCGTCTGCCAGCTTAAAGGTAGTAAATTGAGTGGTACAGCCCTTCTCTTATTTCTCAAGTTGCATCAACCTAAATGGACTGATTGCTGACGAAATCTCATGAAGGATATAAAAGACTTGGAGGTATTTGCCAACCAATGTCATCTCTGGGGTGGATGTGATATCTCGCTATCGATCAAACGACGTCTACCCTCCGCAGCAGTTCGCTATGTCATTCTCTATGGCTTTGAAACATGGCGGTTGATAGTGGAAGATATGAAATGACTAGCTGTCTTCAACCACAAACGTTTGCATTCTATCCTCGTGTCAGGTGGTATAACGGGATGAGTAATATTGAGGTTAGGCGTAGTGGGAAAGTCAGTCAGTGAGGTCGTGAAGCCACATCGATCGAGATGATTAGGTCATATGTTTCACATGACTAGCCATCGTCTTCCTCGATGGGCAATGTTAAATGACATTGGATCAGATTGGAAAGGAGCCAGTAGTGGTTAGATCCAAACTTGGCATCGGTCAATGAAGTCTTCAACAGTTTGTTTAAGTCAGCCTTTCAGGGCGGTTTAAACTTCCTGGTTGGGGTCCTCGAGATGGTAGGAACCAGTGACGGCTAGAGACAATTGGTGATACGGCTCAGATATTAGAAAAATCCCCACTTAAACACTTAGAAGATAAAAGGATTAAACGAAAAAGCACTTTTCAATAAGATCCTCATCTATAGCTCTACTCTAATATGTATAGCATTTTCAACACAATACAAAAGTTTACCAATATAATAATGATAAGTTTGATAACAATAAATAGTCATTATCAACATGTGAAGGAGTTGGTAATTAACCAAGTAGACTAAGACAACAAATAAAGGATAGGAATAATTGCAGAAATTAAACAAGTTGGTTGCATAATGAATAATTTTAGAGAAATAAAGAGTAATTAAGAAATGAGTTCAAATGTATTACGTAACTGGCTGGCTGGATTCAACATAGAACTTGGCACCGAAGTGCAGCAGTTCGAGTTGCCACGTTCCAAATAGCACACAAAGGTAGACAAGAAAATGAGTGAAGAGAATCAATAGAGTTTTGACAAGTACAAGAGTGAAACAGAATGAGTAATGGTAGAAAGGAATATGAAGGATTACAGAGACTAAATACATCTGCGTAAGCCATTGACAACGATTTTGAGTCATGTCACCTATTGTCTCCAGCCATTGATTCTTAGAGTCCTGAGGGCCCCAACCCAGAAGTCTGCATCTCCCTACCTGACTCAGTTTAACTGTCAAGGATTTCTGGATTGATGAGGCCATGTTTTTGTTTGGCCACCACTTACTCTTTTCCAACCTGCACCTATATCAGCTAGTAATGCCCGTCCGTCGGGGGGAGACGATGGTTAGGCATGCGCAGCACGTGACCTAGCCATCTCAATCTATGTAACTTTATAGCCTCTTCGGGTGATTTTCCCTCTTTGCCCAACACTCTACGCCTAACGTCAACATTACTTACCTTATTATACCACCTAACGCGAGAAAGAGATCGTAAGCATCTATGATCAAAAACAGACAACCTTTTCATGTCTTCAACTCGTATTGGCCATGTTTCAGAGACATAGAGAAGGACGGAGCGAACTGCTGAGCAGTACACACGTCCCTTGGTTGATAGCCAGGTACGTAACAAGCAATCAAGGGTGAAGTAGTCGGAAAAATAAAGTGATTTGGACAATGTTAGATTGTAAAAGGCTTAGGCGGTGGGGGACATTGTAAATCGTTTACATTCTTGTAACGATGACCGAGGTCATTGAGGTGGCTGCACAGATTTCCTCGCAAAACGCAGATCTAGCTTCTTCAGATGGATTCCGATGGCTATTATTAGTCGCAATGCGATAAATAATTTTGAATGCTTTATTAACATCAACTTTATCTTAACTCTCCTCGATTTCTTGTGAGAAGTCGTGAACAATGCGGTCCACAAAGTAAGGTATTAGGACAAATACCAGCCGATAACATTAGTTGGGAGTGACACTGTAAGTGGCGAATTGGTGGGCAATTGAATTCCGTCCTAGTGACTAACCTACAAATAATTTCAGTGCATCATCTTTTCTTACATCTTAGGTTTTATAGGGATTTTGACTAATTTCAATTTAGATATCGTCATGAACGACAAGTCCCTAAACTTTAACCCTGTGGCTAAATGGTCAATGGACTAGTCTGGTGACATGAGATTCATTGTTTCAGTCCGTGGTGCAGTCATGGGTACATACTACTGGTGAGTTCTAAACAAGGGCTAAGTAGCTGTCTAGTATCTGTTGATATTCAGTGGTTCTCCAATTAAAGTCAGTTTGTTATTTAGCTTGAAACTAATCAAATCCTTATGAACCAACTCTTGAAAGTTGCGGCTGAATTTAAACCGAACTATTGTTTTTTTTCCTTCAAGTTCCCCAGTGGAACATAGGGCTTCAAGCTAGTGGCTTGAAGTTTCGGTAGTAGTGGTGTTTATTTTTACAGGATAGGGTTGCTAGCCTCATGCCCAACCTTTCCTCTTCATCAGCATTATTTCTGGCTTAGCGCGGTCAAGGAGTGGGTCGGCCGGGGATCGAATCCCGGACCATGTACATGGTCGGCGAGCGTCCTAACCGCTATGCCACCGACGCCAAATTCACACAGTGATACACCCATTGACTGGGCTTTGGTTTTCAGGAGAACCAAACACACCCATCCCTGCCTCTTGCGAGACGAGACCGGCATGCAGGATCATCCTGTGGCGCAACCACTCGAGAGCCCTCTCCCTCGGTTGATCAGTATAATAAGACGTTTTACACATATTTTACACAAACCAGAAGTTATTTCACGTTAGTATTCCTGTTTAATTGATTCAGTTTATTTATTCTATAGCATCCTGTTTGATATTCTGATAATTACTCGTTAAGCTGATTTGATAAATGAATTGTGATTGGTTAAAACGTATTTACAGTATACTTTTACTTTCCTCTTCTTCCTACTCTGATTGTTATGTAGATGGAACTTGTAGTTTTGGTTCAGACTTTGAAAGTGATGTGAAGGTAAATTATTTACTATTTTTGGTATATTATGTACACCTCTTTTCTCTACTGAATTATGTCAATAATAATATTAATAATAGCAACTTTATTCTAGACAAAATGTTCTGAACAGTGTACGGAATTCCCAGCATTTTTTATTGCACAATGCTCATGTAACGGAAGAAGACTTGGTAACGGACCTTTATTAAGGGAAAACACATCATATTTATACATTTTTAGCCTAATTACAGTTCAGCTAGGTCAGAGGAGAATAAATTACTCTGATTAGTTGGTGATTGGCCCAAGGGGAAACAGGTTGTTCAATGAGCGGGGTTATTTCATCTCCATAAAGTAAACAAAATCCAGAGTTGAGGAATCAAGCCCTTCTATCTTCCTAGCCAGCCGTTAACTTGACCTGCTGCACCCTGCTGGTCAGGACTTCTCACTAGAACCCCAGGTAACTACCTACCTAAATAGGGCAAGTCGCTAGTGAGCATCTCATTGATATTCAAGTGTTGGTTTGTAGGTCGGGTATGAGGACAAATACTCGCCGAAGATTATTGGCTAGCGGTCGCGCTATGTCGTGAATTGTCAGAAGTTAGAATTCATGGGCCATTGGATCGGGTCCCAGTGGCTTAATGGTCTACGAGCTCGCCTTGTAACCAGAAGGTCCTGGGTTTGAATCCCGGTGGGTGCGTACTGCTGAAGAGTCCCAAACTAGAACGAAGCAGCTGTCCAGTACTCCCAGGTTTTCCAATGGTTCTCTAACTAATATCAGCTCATGATGAAATCCTGTAACCAATCAAATCCCTGCAAACCAACACTTGAAAATGTGATCCCCTATGTTGGATGAAAATTCAGGTAACCCAGTGATTTAAGAATTTCCACCATGGCATTATAATACTTATCGCTGACGATTTACGAATCACAGAGACTGAGAAACAATAGAAAATTGGGTATAACTTTTAGAATAGCCTACTATTGTTTACATTTATTATGATGATTACGGCGCTAAAGTTGTTTACTGCTACCATTCATAATAATAATAATAATAATAAAAATGATTCTCTATAAAATTTTAGATGCCTAAATTGGGTGGAATTAAACGTGGTTGGCTGAAATATCGAATGTTTTTATCTGATAAACGCTTATTCTTTTACGATGTAAGTATTTCATAAACGTTATGGAATCGCTTTTTGATTATATAATGCATATAATTGTTAAAAACTACATACAATACATTTTACCATAAATTCTGGTATAAATTTTACAGTTCCTACTGTGTGTGTGTGTGTGTGTGATGTGGAGTCCTTTCATGTACATAGAAGCAGAGATTAGCACATGTACCTCAATAACTTATTTATTCGAATTTCATCTAATTGATCCCCGGTTCAAACCCTTTTTTGACTCACTTCAACCTAGGCAACTAGCTAGTAATAAGACTTTGTAGATTACATTTATTTCATTACCTAAGCTCTGTAATTGATAATAATATTAATAATCTTTATCAGGGAGTAGTGATTTATTAAAGCTTATGACAGTGACTAAGAATAATGAATACCTCTAAATGTTTGAATTCAGTAATTGGAAATCCATAGTAATATGTGATTCATATCGCGCCCTTTGCCACAGTTGCGTATGTGTGTCATCAGCAGTCCTAACATCCCAACGACCTCAGCTAATCAGTCGATACCTCTTGACGGAGCTTAAACCATGTTTTGGTCTGAAAACTTCTAACCAAGTCAGTTCGGTACATGTAACATATTTTCTGACTGTGCCAATCAATACAACTTCACATCGCCTTCTACTGACTTCGCCTAGTTATCTGACATAACCTCATTATTAGTGATTATGTCATTCTGCCCAACACAAGTGGTTAAACAGAGTCATCTACGGTTATATCCTACACATTCAACGACAATATTGCACAGTGGTGAAGTAGGACGGGGTAAACCTCCCCACTTTACACATGCTTTTCCTAGGAGAGTCTACTGACTGACTCAATTTCAGCATAGACCTTCGCACAGAAATTTAGCCGTCTAAATTGCTACACTCTGTATGACACACAAAGTTAGAAAAAAGAACTATAGTTGTGGTGAGAGCTGTCTACTAGCCAATTGGTTGACAGTAATTGAGGTCAATGTTTATGTATCAAATATTAGTCATGTTGTGGTGAGAGATGGTTGCTAGCCAAATTGGTTGACAGTAATTGGGGTCAAGGTCAAGATGGACAGGTGGATACAGTTCACATATAGATGAACTGACACAGCCACAAGAGATGCAAGGTTAACTGTGTGTGAGAAACAACCAATCAACAGACTGTATTTTCTACTAACATTGACCTACAATAATGTACATCAAAATCTATAAATACGTGTTGATTTTCCGTAATAAACGTTCTGTTGCCTGGCCCTTGTCTTCTGTTGTTACATAGTGAGCAGAAATGTAAGGGAGAATGAATAGTAACATGCGAGAACATGGAGATTTATTGGGTATGGGAGATCACAGACTGAATACATCTGCACCCACCCAGTGTATGCCTCCTTATGTTGCTCAAAGACTTCATGAACTGATGCCAGGTTTTGATTTGACTCCCCCTAACTCTTTTGCACTGCAGTCCTATGTCAGCTAATGTTGCTCGACGAGGAAGGCGATGTCCCGTTATTCTCAACTTGTGTCCTACCCATCTGTATTGATTCACCTTCACAACCTCGTCGATTAATTTTCCTTCTTAACCCTAACACGTAACGCTTAATTTTGATGTTACTCACCATACTATACCATTTACCACGGAAGATTATACGCAAAAATTTGTGGTCAAGGACAGCTAACCTTTTCATATCTTCCATTTTCAATGGCTATGTCTCACAGTCATGAGTTAAGACAGGAAGAATTGATTCTCACACGTCTTTTGATCGACAACTGGATATCATATCGACACCTGAAATGACGTGTGTTGACAAACGCCACACGGGATTTCGTTAGCAACAAGTTCATTACTACTGATGCAACTTTGATAGGTATTCGCATGTCGCACAGACGTCTTTGTAATTTCATTCTCTTTTCATTCATTCTTGCTCATTATGGTATATAAAAGCCGTGAAAAAACTTGTTCTCTCTGTTTACTAAGGCACTAATATTTTTAAAAATTTACGTTAGTTATATCACAATGCGTGAGACACTTTTGTATCCCATTATAAATAAAATTCACCTAACCATGTTATGTTTTCCCATAGAAGAGTCTGTGAAATATGTTTAACAAGCGATATCAGAATGTTATTTCTTGAAGATATTTGACAATCAAAATTGAGTATTTTTCTTAACTTCTATTCAGTTACTTGATTGTATTTAAATAAACAGTGTAACCAAGATGACCGCGAAGTTTGATTTTATGTTGTACTTTATATACGTCCATAAATTATAATATTCAATATGTTTTGTTTTATGCTAATTTCTTTGTGCATTAGTAAATGTTGAATAGCTAAAACAGAGTTTTTCTTTCTGTATTCTATCATCAGATATTTCTAAAAAAAATACTTTGAGCTGTTTTGCTATGTGTTGCAAATAAGCTGTCTAATGGATTCTGTAAATTGTTGAAAGTTACCAGCTATTCTCATTTTGTTTTAAATGATTCTGTGATGAAGTAACTCATAAATGATGCCTTATATGCCACTTATTGTATTTATTACTCCCTTAGTTTCCGAGTGGAACGTAGAACTTCATCCTGTTCACTGCAATCTTTTTTCATTCGGCTCCCACTCGAAGGCTTGGTGCACTACATGTACCTTGACGGCCTCCTCAGTGTGTGTCCTATCCATCTCCATTTTCTTCCTCATACTTGTTGGGCTATGGATTCGTGGTGTGTTCCTAGAGTTCCTTGTTGCTAATCCTTTCCTGCCAATGATCTGATCTTTAGTATCGTCCTGTCGAAGTCAGCTGTCGATAAAGGTCTTCACCAGGCTGTTCGAAATGCTATTGCTGACGTGCCTACCAAGTTTCTGAACATTAGTGTTGAAAATCCGAACCTTGTTGTATATGTTTTAATGCAACAGATTTTCAGAATGATTTCAGATTAATGAATGTTTGTCTTCCCTATCCAATCTTGTCTTTGACATCAACCGTGCCACCTATAGTTGAGACAGTGCTGTTTAGATAAGTGAGGGTGGCGACCTCCTTTAAATTTCTCCCGTTGATAGTGATTAGTGCCTCTTGTTGTTCCTGGTCAGGTGTCTTCATCATCTCTATTCATTTGAGGTCTTGTCTTCACTGCTTCTTGTCTCAACTTGTTAGGTTTTCTCCCGTAGATCTACGAGTTTGTGTGGCATTGTACAAATATCATCTTCAAAGTCCTAAATCTTCTTAAGTCTTCTTGTTCTCAATGGCCTGCCGCACTATTCAGTCCATCACAATCAGGATTTTATTGGCAATAGTAGACAGTTTCCGGGATGAATCAACTAGTAGATAATAGTAAACAGAAATGGTTCGACCTTCAGTCTAATCATGTATACCAACTTCAAAATGCACTTGATTTTGTTTTTTTCATGTGTGTTTACTCAGTTTTTTTCTTAACCTGCTGAATTATCGTACACAACAGTACTTTTAATTATTAAATTATATGCGCAACACTTCACAGACATTCATCAGTTTTCTCTTTACACTTTTTTTTTAAAGATCATCTCCGAATCCTCTAATATGCAGGCACTAAGTGGCAGTGCTAGTTCATTGTCTCCGTCTTTTCAAAATATTCATCGGTCAAATAATCATAATATTTCTTCAAATTCACTGAATATGACTACCAACGTTGTGTTCCCGTCGAATAGTCCCAGTCGAATTGTTGATTTAAGTAGTTCAGGATTTTCTGTATCTCGTGTAACTGCAGCTGATGTGATACACGCAAAACATCAAGATATTCCAAAGATACTCAAGGTATTTTTTTTTACGAATTATATTTCTGTTTTCATTAGTGCATTTTGGTTCTATTAACTCTATGTTGATTTTCCTCTAAAAGAAAATAGTGACTAGCTTTGACGTGCTTATCCCACAACCGTTTAAACTAATAATTTTCTGGTGTTCATTTGTAAGGATTTGTTTAGTTTCAATTTTGATCAGAAACTGACTTCACTTAGAGAACCATTGAAAATTGTTTCACCCGAGTTCGCGACTCTTCAGTATTATGAACTCAGGACCGTCAGGTTGGCAGGTAACCTCATTGATCATGCAGTTAATAGGACGAAATATCATGGTCCCCTGAATTTTAACTTCTGTCAACTCGCGGCATAAAGCACAATTGCCAGTCAATGTCATTGGCAAGTAAGTCTTCACATTGGTCATGACTTGTCATTAGAACTCCAAGCTAATTAGTCACTAGTGGTGTGAGCACTTGATGGATAATGACTGAGTGAAATTACTTAAAATACTTTTAGAAAACAGATTATATTATAATGACTATCTACAAGTTTTTTTTTATGTGTCTGTTTTATTCATTAGATTATTGTAGATGATTGTCTTCCCAATGCTCCACTATTCCTCTTATTCGAAACATCTTCACTTTGTGAACAATGGTTTAAACTGATTCAAGATACATTGAAACTTGTTCTACGTCATATTAACAGTGATGCGGATCACCAGGTGGGTAGTTGAATTTCACCTGTTGCGTATATATATTCTTCCTGTTGATGAAGTACTGTTATTCACATTTATTTACTGATCAGAGCTATACACTTTCGTAACTGTAGTCGTCATCTTTTTTCCATAATAAAATAGCTTATGATACTGGTAAATCACTAAGTCAGATCTAACCTTTATTATTATTTATTGATTTATATTGTTAGTAATTTCAATGTTCCAACATTGAGCAGTTAGTTGATTAGAACTGTTACTCGTCTCCGACTATAAGCCACATTTATTGATTGGCAGCTTATGATACTACCCAGTTTCCCAGGTTAAAGTATTTGGAGTGGGACTCGAACTCTAGTTGGATCAGTGATTTTCCAACGCAGAACTTCTCACAGAAGCCTCACTCCTTATAGAACACAATAGCAGAGAAAATTACAAATTTAGACGAATTATAACAAACGTAAATGTATGGGACTAAGAATACCCACATGGATAATAATAAGAAGAAGAAATCGATGGATCTAGGAGTTCATAAGGAAATGAATTCATCTGCACTACTGACAACGATTTTTAGCAGTGTCATCAACAGTCTCCAACAATTAGTCCTCGAATCCGTAAACCGTTAGCTTTAAGTTAAGTTTCTAGGCCACATTTCCGATTGCTGGACTGTATCGCTTTCTGCCTTATTAAACTAATTATCAATATCATTAATTCGTGTAGCTGTTAAATTTTGTTCTCTTATTGATAATACTGTCAAATACAAGTTGGTAGTTTACGAGTATCTTGCGCTAACGGACTGCCTAACTAGTAGATTTGTGAGCCGACTGTCCTAATCACTATTCTCGGTGATAGCGACCACAACACGATACCATTGATATGCGATGCGAAGAAAAGAATAAGACAAACTGTTGAATATGGAACTTGTACCGTCTAGGATCAATAGTAAGATAAACTTGACAGCGGTTCCATCATACATATAAGCTTAAATGATTTATCCGAAAAGCTAAAACCATTAACAGCCAGTAGCATTCAGAGTTCATATGTGGAGAAAAATAGAGAAATCACTGTCCTGTAAAAAAGCATATGTAATATTTTGGAAAAACTAGATATATATATGTATAGCACTCATTGACTCAGGTTTTCGAGTATTTAACTGTAAACCACTTGCTGCGATAGTCATTACTTACGAATTACTTTTGAAGGTTAATCACTTAAAAGTCCTACTTATCTATATGTAATATACAGTAATATAAGCTGCATAAAAACATTCGAATTCATCTCATATAATACGACCTTTACTCATTTGTTTCCTCAACTTTTCCCCCGTTTTCCGTGGTGACTCATTTCAATTAATTTCTCTTTCCACATTATAATTTCTTCTTAGTTGTCAGCAATGTTTTTTTTAAAATTTGTTTTCCTGACTAGACAAAGTAGTGATAAATCATATTTTATTTGGTTTTTTTCTCTCTCTCAACTAGTAGAATCGTCATTCATCAAAATCAATGTTTGCTTTATTCCACTTTATATCGTTTAGTGTGTTGTATAGCAATGATATTCCTTTTCTCTCTATATATATCTATCTGAGATTAGTTCATTTCACGCAATCAATATATATATGTGTATATATCGTTAACATTTCATTTCCTATTCGAATTTGTCACTTCTACGCAAATCATATATATAGTCCATATATATAGTCAATACATCTATAAATTATTCATTGGTATATTTGTAGTAAACTTTGTATACTTGATAGTGGTGGTATACATCTATCCTATTTATGTTAATCCTGACTTCTTCTATATTCATTGTGATTAGGTAGTGAAAGATGCATAAAACGTTTACTAGACCTGTTAGTATGTTCTTTTCTTAAAGTTGCTATTGCTAATTTAAGAAACGTTTATGCGCTAATATACAGATAACATTCACTCTTTATTCAAGATTTCTTTCACCAACCACTGCTAGAGTAATGTGATACTTTGGTTTTTTTTATTGATTGTGTAACTCTATATAGCATAGTGTTCGATTGACAGAATACTCTTGGTTTAATGGAGGTAGGTGATCATTAAAAAATTACAAAGTGCCTATCTCTAGATTATTAACTCTGTACTGTTGTAACAGGCTTAAGCACAGAATTCAACTACTAACAAGGTTGTTATTTTGTCGCATAGCTGAGTAAGGTTAACACCTCCCAGAGGAGATATGAATTCCTTGAATAGTGCAAATATACCTTGCTGACAAGTGCAAACAATCACGAAACGCAAGTCTAGGGTTGCATTGCATCCAACCATCTAAGGACAGGTTAATATTAGTTATTGTGTATAAGTCGTATCACTGACATGTAATCAAATGGTATTTGTGGCCATTCTCTCGAAGAAACATTCAACTTATTTATGGTATTACAGGTTTCAGATTGACAAATTTGTAGATATTCAGGACTGTGACGCGAATCGAATACAGGTAGATAGATGATTGAAAGAAGATGAAGATCATCACCCAGTGTGCTGACGATGGACATAGCAGTCTGGCATAATAAGACCTAGGTCATGTTGATTACCTTCAACCATCTAGCATCAGTTCAGAGTCCGCCACCATGGTGAATCACTTAGCTTGGTATGACCACATTGTAAACTTGACTGATAGAATACAATCTGCACCAACACCAAAGACTAGACGCATGGCACTGGTTACTCCCCAGTAAACTAATCAATGTATTAATGTGTTCTGTTCAACATTGTAGTTACACCTTTCAAACTCTGTGATCAATATAAGCCGATGAGTATCTTCGAAAACTTCACATGTAATCTTTTCAAATAAATTTCGTAAAAGCGAAATGTAAAACTGAAATTCTTTTGCTGTGTTTTTAAGGCGTATTATCCAATCATAAATATTCAGACCCTACATATATATGTATGTATTGATAATAACCCCTGCAATTCACACTAAGTGTACCCACTATAATAATAATAATAATAATGATAATTTACTTTTCTTTGTTTTCAGTGTCTACAAGTACGTGATGTCTGCACTTCTTCATTATCAGCTATACTAAAACAAATCAATTGTGCATCAGTTTTAGGTAGGTGTGTTATGCAACCACCTTTAAATATTCTTGTTTCACTTATATTATAGTACCATGTGTTGTACATCTCTGTTTCAGTAGTAGAATAATTGTCAACCATGCACTTGGTCTGGGTTTCGATTCCCGGTCGACTCAGTGCTAAACCTCGCTTAGCCGTTAGTAAGCTTTGTTAAAGAGGGAAGGTTAGGCGTGAGAATAGGAACCCTCCCCCCCCCGTGCACAATAAAAAAAGTACATTGAAAACCACTGAAACTTCAAAGCTCAAGCTTGAAGCCTTATGCTCCACTGGGAACACAAAGGAATTACAAAAGAGTATTATAGCATACATAGTTTTTTCTGAACACATTAATATGTTCCTTACAAACTTTAATGTTACTGCTTACTTATGTATTAATTTTTTTATTTCACTCAGATGAATACCGATTCTTGGCTGGCACCGATGAAGGATTGTATGTTGTTGATATAAGACAGAATAGTAAGTTACTGTTTTTTTTCTTTAACTAATTTTGTAATGTTTTCTTCATTTTCCTATTCAGTGTCTCAATTTTTGCTGATAATGACTTTTCCTGTCACACTAATATATATTTCCCGTTTTTTGACAAAATTCATTTCCAATAATCCCCTAGCTTCTAATTATTGATACAAAGTAAAGCCTTTGTTCATCTGAAATCAATGTGGAAATTTGCTGCCCTCTGAAGGAGGGACAAAATTTGGATCTTCAACACTAATTTCACAAGTCAGTGAGTCCTTCTAAATGGTTCACAGATTCTCTGCGTCACGAAAATGCATTCCCATCAGGCCACTGCAAACTTATGTATAACTGCCTTCGCTACTTATTGAAGGTCAAACAGTCAGAAAGGATAAGCGACAAAGAGCTCTGGGAAATAACCAACCAAGAACCTATCGCCGAAAAAGCATTCCAAAGGAAGTAGATAGATAGATTGAGAGAGGAGACCTTTGGGTGTGACATGCGCGGCGCCCTCGAGTGGAAACCCTAAGGGCATGCGAGAGTGACATGAAGAAGATCGTGTGGGGAGGAAACGAAAGTTTATCGACAAACGTGGAGTCAGCTAAAAGTGACTGTCGAAAACATGGTGAAATGAAGATGTGGTGTTGAAACATGAATTCCTCACCCCGTTACTATTTGCACGCAGAGTTTCAGCTATTTTAGGCTAGTCTCAATAACGTCTGCTGTTTTGAGTATTCGGTAGTGCAGAGGCTCGTGGCAATTTATTTGGTACCCGGTAGATGACAGAAGAAAGATTCTTCAATGTGTTGGCTTAATTACTTGCTTTGACTAGGTGATCTAATTTGGAATTGTTGATGTTTCTAACTGCACTTTTATTTAGCCACAGTGATAGGTGTTCTTGGGCACTAAAAATTAAGTTCCTAGAGCAACAGCCAATATAATTGACCTCACAGGAGTAGTTGAATTGACAGATACAAGAAGAGGTGGATAGTCTAGGTACACTTCGTCTGATCATATTATTATATGTATAATTTCTCTGTCGTTCCCAATTCTCGTTATATGCTTCTTTTAATAGTGACAGTATAAACCTTCAGGAGTATTTAATGGATATTAGCACTAATAAAATTCGCACACCAGGTAGTACTATTGCATCTAATGCGTTATGCCATCTGCTTATCATCTTAGTTTTAGGAATTTTAAAAAAAAGTAATTGTTGACTCAGTAATTAATTCAAAAATTGAATAATTATTCCAAGTGAGCTATCATTCAAACGAGCTAATTTACTCATGCAGAATTCAATTTCCATATATTACTGTCACAAATATATATATATATATATCATCACTGAAGTTTTAGTGTAATGTATACAAGTTTCACCCTTGTGTGTTGTATTGCTTATTTTATTTATAGTGAATGTGCGTATAGGTGCACGCAAACCGGTTTATCAAGTGGAAGCTCTAGCTGAAGAACTACAACTTGTTGTTGCCATTCAAGGTTAGTAGTGTGAAAATATGTAATAACTCTTTGTAACATCCTGGTTTACCTTATTAAACTGAATATGAGCTGTTTCCCTATTATAACAAAATATTTCCTCTCCAGCTGTACAATTGTATTTTTGAATTACGGAAAAATGCATTAAGCGTCGCTAAAAATTGTCAAGTCAGCATTAAATAGGATAAGAATAAAGCCAATTAACATGATATTTAGGGAGGTAGAATTGAAGCAGATGAATTACAAAACTTTGGATTATTAGTTGAACAATTAAACAAGTGAATTGGTATTAAGATTTTCAAAGTTGGTCAAGTGTTGTCAAAACACCAAAGTACATTGATGATAACCGTAAAGAAGGTGAAGATGGAGTGAAGTGGAATGAATTTAAGCGATATATATATATATATATATATATATATATATATGACATTACTATGACTGTAGTAAAGGAAGGGGTCTAAGAAAACCTTTTGTTTATGCGTAGCTCGAGCTTCGACGATACCTAAGTGGAGAAAACGTGACTCCCTTATGGAGAGAATTTATTTTGATAAAATCTCACAGTGTTATACGGTAATTATTTACTGAGGACTTTTCGAGCATAATTTATTGCTCATAATCACATCAAGTTATATCAGTAACTCCATAATAAAATTATACCCTACCACAGTGCTCAAGTTCTGTTATTATTATTATATCAATGGAGAAAACGTACTTTTAAAGCGACTGAATATGACACCGTAGATAATTTTAAAGGATAAATTACACGAGACTGAATGATCTGACTCAATAAGGTGTTCGCAGGTAAAAAACTTCATCTTCTCATGCTCGCCTTTCTTCAACTTAACCGGGTAGAGTTCAGTTACGCGTTTCCGGAAAACACGCTTACATCATTCATTGTAATCAGCGCTACAGGAGTATGTGAAAGATTAGATGCATATAGAAGTGAACATAAGTGATAGTTCGTGTTTCATGCACTGTTGAATCATACTTCGGCTAGAGAATACAAGGTGTCAGTCAACAACCTTAAGAAGTGTTTAATACATTTAGAGGAATGACTTTTAATTATTTGAGCAATACCAATTCACTTATTGTTCCCTGATATTCACCTTAATAGCATAATTGTGTAAATACTTATTCATTTTATTGTAAGCTTTCACTCACTCTCTTTTATCATGAAGAGATCGTAACACTTATTAACAGGATTCTACTATTATAGCCGCCCTTGTAATCCTTTTTTCCAAAAACAATGGAAACAAAATTTATTGTTTAGAAAAACTGATAAAACGTGTTCCTTTGATCATCTTTAAAGCAAAAATGAATATGATTTGTAGGATAAAGGGTGCACATTTTATTTTCAAGGTGTCTCTCTTCAAGACCTTACTTTGTTTCATTTACAATGTAAAATATCTCTATTCATCACTTGAAATAGGACTAGGTTGGAAAAGGTTTTTTTATTCTCAGTGGAACATACGGCTTCCAGCTAGAGGCTTAAAGTTTCGGTAGCAGTGGTGTCTATTTAATTGTACAGGATGTGGTTGCTAGCCTCATGTCCAACTTCCCCTCTCTACCAGTCTTATTGTGGTGAGAGCTGGCTGCGAAAAAGCCGAAATTGTGGACAACAATTTACATCAATGTTTACGTTCCTAATCGGAATCATGAAAAAAACAAGAACACGGCTTAACCTTGAAGAACCCATCAACCAGTCACAGCAGACTTAGCATGCGCAAATACGATTCGCAGATATATGTATAACTTTGCAACAAACCGTCACAAGCAGTACAGAATAACCTTCAGCAAGAAAATAATCAGAAGACATTGCGTCTCCGCTGACAATAATGTGCATAAAAATCTATAAGTATCTCTTGATTTCCTCAATAAACAAGCTATTGCCTGGCCTTTGTATTGTGTCGTTACATTATTACTGATTTAACGAGGTAAAGGAATCCGTCGACCGGGGGTCGGACCCCGATTCACATATGTGGTTGGCAAGTAGTCTACTGCTCATGGAAAAGAGTTGGGGATGGTTAAATCAAAGCATAACATCAATCCATAAGGTGTTTGACAGTTCATAGAGGTGGTGTAACTGACAAGTTTGCGATAATTGGGGTGTTAAGATCCAATGGTTTTAGACTGTTGCTGATATAACTGAAAACTGTTATCGATAGCCTAGATGCATTCACTCTTTGTAACCTCTCAGATATATTAAGTCTATATGTCCCCATTTTACCATTCTTTCTCCCGTATATTTGTGCTCATTATAATTCTTTCGAATCTTATCTCTCTCTCCACCTTTGTATGGCCTCATAGAGTATGGCAACTTGAATTAGAGATACACTTCTGTGCAAAGTACTCTTGATCTCAGTCGGTTAATAATCATTCATTGCTAAAGTTGTCTTGGAGGACATTTTCACAGATTTAGACATTTTGCTAATGTAATAAATAGTAGAATTCGTGAGCACTTTGTGGTAGAATATAATTCTACGTTAGATAAGTTTATTCACAATATAACTAACATACAGTGAGTATTACAGTAGTAATAATTGGATGACGTTTCAAGACCAGTTAATTCATCATCATAAGCATGGTTATCAGCAACAAATTAACTTACCCTATTAATATGAAATTTTCTTAACTTTCTATACGCAATTTATTTATCTAATCAGTGTGTGTAAATTCAGTTGAAGTATATTTGCATTCATTGATTGATCAGCTACCATGAACGTGTTTCACATCAATTACATTCACATCATCATATTCAATGAATTCACTGTGTTTACATCCATGGTGTACAGTTACGATTTTTTCTAGTCTTCTTATCTATTTACCATATTCTAATCGAAATTCCATTATCTTTGGGCTTGATTATGTATCCTAATGTGAGAATAGTACTCATTTATATGTATCATAAATGCAGTTGTGTCTGCCTTAGTGGTTGAATGTTAGAATGCTCATCAGCCATATACATGGTCTAGGTGTGACCCCCAACCGACGCATGCCTATGCCTCGCCTAGTTTGCTATTTCTGGGCTGACAGTAAGCGTGGAAAAGAGAAAAGAAGGTCGGATGTGAGGCTCTAGCTTCTTCACTGCTATATTGAAACTCAAGGTGTGAAGTCCTATTTTCAATTCGAGACGCGAAAGAATTGGGGTGTGGTGGGGGAACGGTTACTTGGCTTTATCGAAAGCGCATAGTCATCATCCCAGTTTATCTCGTGTTCATTATATTCTTAGACGGACATTTTTATGTTTATATAACATTGCCATGATTGCATCACGTTTTAAATCAACACCAATCATCATCATCATAAGTCAGTCATACAAAATAATTTTAAAAATAAAGCCTAATATACACGTATGTATAACTCGATGTGATAAATGTGCGTAGATAGACCTTATTTGTGTAATTTCATTATGACTATAGTAAACAGTCAATCATTTTATTTGTCTTTGTTTGTTTTGTTTTTTTTCTATTTACGTATTCATTTTAGGCAAACAACGATATCTGAAATTAATACTGATTGGTGCATTTGAAGGAATGAATTTGAAACCGATAAAAATTACTGAACCGAAATTATGCACTCGTTTCACATGTTCAATGAGTCGTAATAATACAGTCTGTTTAATTTGTGTTGCTAGTAATCGTTCATTGTATATCTTTGAAATTGCACGTGTACAAGGAAGGCATAAACGTTTAAAAGAAATTTCTTGTCCGTATATTATTCAATCAATTAATTTTGTTCGAGATGGTGATTGGATATGCGTTGGATCGTCAAATTATTTCGCTCTGTATAGTATCTGGACTGATGGACCAGCTCAAGGTAGTCAACTGTTTATTAACAATAATATTATTGATGATAGAAGTTATAATAATAAACGAGTCCTCAATGTAGATTTTCTCACGAAGCAACACCAGTTAAAAACCGTTGAATGCCTGAGACCGCTCGGGACAGCTTCCCGGTCTTATTTCGGTATTCTTCAGCAGTGGGCATCCACAACCCCGCCAGGGATTGAACCTCGGTACCTTCAGGTTACAAGACCACAATGATCGACCATTCAATCATTAGGGACGGAATTTAATGACCTTGGCATAATGCTATTTCCACCAATGAGCATCCATTTCACCTTGACATGGTGGACTCCATTGGTCACAACTTCCCACCATAGCTTTAGACCATACATCCAGTAGCCATCAGCGAGCTAGATCTACATTGACATCACTCCACATCCCTACACAGATCTATAATCTAAATAACTGTTGTAAAGAAAGTATAAGGTTGATTTTATGTTTAGACAGTTAAACGGTGTATTTTACTGGACACCGTTTTTAATCGATATCTTTTTCTACTTTTTTTTATAGTTTTACTACGTGGAGACCTGATTGATCTTGATCCCAGTTTAGCATTTTTCCAACAATCACCGTCAGATGCATATTGTGCTGTACAGCTGGGTGACGATGAATTTCTTTTGGCATTTGAAAGTAGGTATTTATTGTGTTTGTTTTGTTTTACATCATCAATTCATCCCTTTTATTATCGTAATTACTGTTACTATTATTATCATCACACCTCATTTTGATCTTTTTCTCGCCTTAGATTGTGGTGTATATATGAACACACAACGCAAGAGAACACGACCAGATAATCTTATGTGGCCTGCTAAATTAATTTCCGGTTCTGCTATCAGCTATTCCTATCCATATTTATATGTATTCACAGAGGCTGGATTAGTTGTTTACAATGCAGTTACTGGTTGTTGGGTATCAACACTTAGTTCCTGTCGTGTTCACCCATTGAATATGGATGCTCATTTATGTCTTGTACATTTATCACCAATGTCTACGTCGAATTCATCATCGTCATCACGTAAATCAATGTATAACAGCGGTGTAGATAATCTTGGTAATAATACAATGGGTAATTCTCCACCTGTTGCACCATGCCTTTCACCAAGTGATTTAATTTCAGTTCAACAGCAACAACAACAATTGCAACAACCTTTACGATTGATTCATTTACCTCAAGTATCATCATCACCTGATTGTAAAGAATCGCCTAGACATATTTCAGCTCTACGAAGTAGACGATTACAAATGCCACAGTCTAGTATGCTTGGTGTCCCTGGACGCATGCGGGTAAGTTTCAGCTTATTTTTTTGTTTGTTTTTTTCACAGGTAATCTTGACAGTCTGTAATGCGTTCCTTTGTTTTTAACTAAATGATGTAGTTAAGGGGGTTACCTCATAGATTTTGTATTTTTCTAACCTGTATAAATGAAATTTTTGAATGGGATATTGGAATAATTATTTTCTATTAAAGCTGAAATTACTTTGATTGGACACTAGGCAGCAACTAGTTCTTAGTGTTAATGCAGACGAAGTTCCATCAGTTAGGTCTACAATGTGGTCATCATGGTGCACACTGGACTGTTGTTAGATGGCTGGAGGTGATTGGCAGGATACAATTCAGTCTGCACCAACACCAAAATTTAGGTGCATGACACTAGTTACTACCTAGTGGCCAATCACAGAATCTCTTGCAGTCCTACAAGAGGTCAATCGTGAGCCCGAATAGCTCGGTGGTATTGTCTCTGACTGAAGCACACTGGGCGACCTGGCTTCGAATTCCAAAAGGAAAATGAGTTGGTTTAATGTTGCACGTACGTTTCGCTGACCGATAAGTAAACAACCAGCACGAAACCCGAATTCAAAGCTTCTTGCCGATTGCCTCCAACCATTTAACAAAACTGAAATTATATGAATTCATATAATTATTTTTCGTATGTATTCTGTGTGTAGGCTGCCTATTGAGTTTGAAAAAGCCTAAATCTCTGTTTTGAATCTTGTAGCTACTGAAGTTTTTAAATAAATTATGATTTGAAACAGTCTAATCAATAAATGCTTCTAGGTGGATTTCCTTAACTACTAATAAAAAGTTGTGACTAGCCTGGACTGTCTAGTCTAGTGTAATAATGGCTCCACAGTAATTAGTGTCTTTGAATAGTAGTATCTCTGTATCATGAACTACTGCAAGTTAGAATTCCTGGGTCATTAGATTCACCTAGTTGCCTAAAGGTTGTGGGTTCGATACCATACTAAGATGAAAGAGATAGCATTGTTCCTTGGTTTTGAATGCCTCCCTTAACAATTTTGATGATATCTACCTTGAAATTTGTTCGTGTTCACTTGCATAAATATCTTACTGCATGCTGTGTATTGTGTAACTTTGTCCTAGTTATGAGGTCAGTTTTTTACGGTAACATCAATACTCACTCATCCTTATGTCGATGTTATCGGGTTTTCTGTCCAGCTTTCAGGTACGTTTATTTTCATTTCATTGTAAACTAATTACCTGTATACAAAATTCAAGTAACATATCAATGAGATATATTGACGCTCTCTACATATTATCTGTGTTTTTTTGTTACTTATAGAAATCCAGTCGCTTCAATTTATATTCACTTGTAGAAGATGGTTTACAGCGTACCAGTCATGGAGTTAGTCCTGAAAGATCAAGAAATTCTCGTCCTCATTCCCAGCATCGAAATCCTCAACCCTCTGGACTACCATCAATGCCAACTAATCCATCCACTGGCGGCGGTGGTGGGGTAGTGCCTCTTCTCGTATTTCACATCTTATTTCTGCTCCCTCCGATTTTCGTCATATTTCACATATGGGAAGACAAATAACCGGTACCTCTTTCTTAGATCTCAATCCCAGTCCAGGTGAACCACCATTGACAGAGGCTGAACGAATAGCAAGGTTTAAATCAGTTGTGGAGGAGAAATATGGGATTCCACCAACATATGGCGGTGATGGGCATTGTAGAAACCCTTCAGCTAATGTGAACTCCAATGTTTCACCTCATCTTATTTCTGATATCAATAATCTTCCAAATACCCCTGATTGTAATAATACATCAACTCAGCTTCGAACATTTACAAAATCTCAGTCTGTAAGTGATGTGGTTGTTGGCTATATAAGATTTATGCACTACAGCTAAATAAGTTAAAAGTTTCAAGTGATTATTATTATTATTTGACTACTTTGTTTTTTACTTCATAGTTATACCTAACTAATTGCTAGAAGTGTTTGACAGTTGCACTGAAACATCATTGCGCTTCTATCACAGGGCATCACTGCCATACAAATACGTATTTAGATGTCAATCGTGGATTTACACACGTCTGAAGAGTCCCCTCCACGTCACCTCAAAAAATGTATGAAACACAAGTAAATATCTACTGTGATTTCATTTCCAATGGTTTCTCAATTAATATCATTTTTATTATAAAGTAATTCTCCTTATATATATATTCCCCCAGACCATTGCTGGTTTAATGGTAGATCACTGCTTCACTGATTATTTTCGTGTTTTGACTAAGCTAGAGAGTTTTCCGTTCTATTGGTCGAAGTTCATTCTTGTGAATTTAAAATAAAATCGTATATGTAGCTGATTAATCGTTTATATTATGTTTTTGTTCACATTCCCCCTCTATTATTAGTCGTCTTTACAATATTTCAAACTTTGTAGTCAACCTTCCATTTTTATTGATGTCATTGTATTTGAGTGTCGATTATACTTTATGCATATAGCAGTTAAGTTTCTAGACTTTGAGAACTTCAAAGAAAAAATGATTCTCATCACAAGTAGTATGAACGTTCATCTTCTGTCACTTGTTGTATTTCTGTTCTGAAACTGGTCGTTATAAAACAGTGTTCTCAGGGTCTAACGCGTCAGTGGCACAGTGGTAGGATGCTAGCCAACAACGGAGGTGGTTCGGGGTTCGATCCCCGGCCGATGCACTCCTTTACCTAGCTAAGGCAGTAATAAGACTGGTAAGGAGGGAAGGTTGGCCATGAGACTAGAAACCCCACCCCGTAAAAAATAAATACGACTGCTACCGAACCTTGATAGAATTTTACCAACTTGATTCACTGAATTGTATTAACTGTAAATTGTAATAGTTGTAGTTTCAACCGATGATGGTTATTTGTGTATGCTTTGTAGGAATTACACAAACACTTTTGCTCTTATATTATGTTATGTATCATATTATTCATCCCCTATGTGTTCCGAGGGGAACATAGAGAGAGCTGCAGTAGCACATCTATATTGTACTCTGTTCCTTGCCATCACTTTAACTTGGCTCTACGACTACGTACAAACTTTTATTCCCTCTTCACATGGTCTCCTCCATATGGCCTTCAGACGCTTAACTCTTCACTTCTTATTCCAGTTACACTCGACAGCTTGTCAGGCATAATATCACTTGTAGGTCTGTTCAACATATGTCCAATCCGTTTTCATTTCCTACTGTATATTTCCCCAGTGATTGGTTATTGACTGGTTCGGGGTTAGAATTCCTCGGTGGCACAGTGGTTAGGACTCTCGCCGACCATGCACATGGTCCGGGGTTCGATCCCCTGCCGGCGCACACCCGATATCTATGGTCGGCCTGAATTTGGGCTACCGATATCCATGCTGAAAATTCTACACTTGTACTGAAAATTCGGTGTGGAATCAAGCTGTAAATCAAATCAAATCAAATCAAATAGAATTCCTTGTTGCTTATCTCTTCCCAGTCGGCCTTTCGATCTTCACTATCAAGTGAAGGCGCATCTGTTGATGAAAGTCTGCAACAGGCCAAGTCGTTGAATCACAAACAAGTAATTAATTTGACACTTATATCGAATCCGTATCCTTATGCTAAGTGCTGTTATATAAGGTAGTTATTTACAAGTCGGACGTATGTACACACGCGTATGTTCTCATTTGTGTTTGTAATGCCATTTAAAACTCGTTCACTTTTTTTACTTTCTCTATCAATTCTTTATAGGATTTAACTACAATTGTAAAACAATCTCCTCCATAAGGTGATAGTTGTCATTTATTTTTACAAAACGAAAGTTTCACTGTGTATATTAACATTATTTATTCACACATGTATGCATTTCTCTACTATTGACTAATAGTAATAACAGAATGTGTTAAGCACTAATCCAATTTCTGCTGATTTAATGTGGTCAGTTTTATTCCCAATTTTTTGTGATTAATTATTCCTGCATCATCATTAATAATCCCTGTCATTCATTGTGCACACAGCCGACAGTTCACTTTCACCGATAATGTTTCTGTTTTGCTTTAGCTTATTCTACTCTTTTTGGTGTCCATGTGTATATTTTTGCCTAGTATACTTGAAATGCTTCTAATACACTCTAGCTTTATTTTTATCAATTAATAAGTCCATTGATGATGGATTATAAAGTCTTTTTTGAAGAATAATTATCACCTGCAGTCAGTTTGGAAATGATTTCTCCTAATGATTATTGCCATAGATTCCAACCACATTTTCATATATATAAATGTAATGATATGGACAGAGAGAGCACTTCGTGAAACAGTTTCACTAATCCACAATATCACTGTCCAATATTCCTAATCACAATCTTCCATAGTCAATTAACAGTGACCAACTTTGAGGTGCAGGGGTTTTAGAGGATTCCCAATTATACACTCGACCAAGTCAACCACTAGAAGTAGTCAAGAAATGCGTAAATCCAGATGGTCAGGCTTAAAACTCTTCAGTTCGTTCAGTCTCGCTCCACACTTCTAATATCTTGACATTTCGGACCTAAAGATAGGTGGTGACCTTCTCTGTTCGATCATCGGTTTCTCTGTAGAATTGCTTTCTACAAGTAATATCACCATCTAAGTAAATCTCTGAGGTCCGTCTTTTTCTACCTGAATTGGGTGGAGACTGTCTTTCATTAAAAATTATAGCTTCTTGGGATACTTACTTGGCTATTATGTCGTAGACATGTGTAGTAAATTTCACTTCACCAACTTCCATACCATCCAATGTTTATTAATCATGAGACTGAAGTGAAGAAGTGAACGATCCATGCAGTTCCACTGATGAAAGATAGTTGTTTTGAGTTAGTGTTTGTTTATAAATCACGATTCCCTGAATGAGTTCCAAGAGATCATGCAAGTCAGCGGTTCAAAATGTTATCGGATATAGCTCAAAATTGAAATCATTGGCAAACATGATACAATCTCCTTCTCATGTTAAAAGCAATACAAAGAAATAAACATGCCTTTTAATAGTGTTAATAATTATGCTTACCTGTTGCTTTCACTTCTCTTATTCCTTAACTAATCTATTTCTAATTATATATTTTATCATTTTATATCATGCATTTGTTTGTGCTCCTGTTTCACCAAGTTTGCGTTTTCAAATAATAAAATAACAGCCATATTTCTTAACCCTAACTCTAATCATTTTGAATTACACATAGCAAGCAGGTAATCAGTTGTCGTGTTGACCACAGTCTATATAGTAATTTATTCTATTTGTCGAGAAAAAGTTGAATAAGTCTACTGATCTGTTTGAGTTTTTTTTTATTTATACCAGACTGAAACACTTAGTCAGTCTTTGTTGAAATATCGGTTTCTAGTATGGACACTCTAGCAACATTTACAACGACAGGGTTTGGGTTCGAGTCTCAGTAGGAACACTATCACTCACTGGAGGGAGATGCAGGTGTACATCGAGCTGTTCATCTGAAATTCCACTACTAGTCACCACTAATCAAATAAAGTCCACTGATTGTTAAACGCGTAGTTAGTTGTATTCAGGTCTGTTGTTTTACTTCCTTGAAATTACAATAATTTCAAAGTTATATATTTGTATAATTTCATTCATTGTAAAACGTAGTACAGACTGGAGATCCTTATATGAACTGTTGATGAAACTCAGTAGCAACATATTGGTAACTTTGTGTTACACTCTGTGCTTATCGAATGTGTTTCACAGTTATACTTATGAATATTCTTCAACACTTATCAGTCGATTTTGTTGTCTGTGAACCCGGAACAGATACTTTATGTCCTAGACTAAGACCCCGCACTTATTATTCAGTGAGGAATGACAATTCTATCCAGTCACCCTGGTTGAAGTATATGTGAAGCGGGGGGGGGGTGGAGATTCCATTGACTGGAAATCGATGGCTGAATCCACTGTGCCTTTTTTTTCACCTCCTGATAATTGAATTAATTCTTTCATTATTATTTCATTAAAGTTTCACAAACAAATAATACTAATTAATAAATGCTTACTTTGGCAGAAATATAACAGTATTACACCATTGTCAGGTGTTAGTGTCATTCCGTGCTTTTTCTTTTTGTAATTATGTAAAACTTTTTATATATGAAGAAAGAGAGAGAGAACATACTTGTTGTATAATTGTTCTAGTTTACCTTAAAACAGAAGCTAGACAATAGATGGATTTAATGATATCACACTAGACATATGGTGTACATCATGTGATGAAGATTGAAAAGAAAGCTGTGACCATACTCTTTCTCTATGTGTATAATGTGTGCTTTAGAGAATACATTTATATATTGTCATATCGTAAATTGATAATAATGGATATGCCTAACAATCATTGTATTGCAAAATATTTTCTGTCGAAAGTTTAGTGTTGTATGTTATGTATGACTAGGAAGAAATATTCAATAACGAGTTGCAAAGCTTTGTGTTATTATTATTAGCATTATTCCCTTTGAATCCAGATGGAACATAGGAGTTCAACTGGGACATATCTCCATTTCACATTTTTGTCTGAAGTTTTTTTATAACTCAGTCCACAGTCGCCTATAAGCTCCAATCAGTCAGTCCAATCTATCTATCTATCCCCATTTTCTTCCGCATATTTGTTGGGTGATAGGTTCTTGGTTGGTTCGTCGCCACAATTTTGTGTCGCTGATACTTTCTGGCCGGTCATCTACTCTGGAGTATTGAGCGGAGGCAGCTGTTGACAAAAGTGTACAGTAGCCTGTTGGAATCGGTTTCCATGACTCGTTGAATCTCTAAGCCACATAGAATAACTGACTGATTTGACACTTTTGTTGAATACTCGAATGCTGTTCCTCCTTCTAAGAGCAGCAAATTTCCACACTGATATCAGAGTAATGAACGTCTGTCTTGCCTGGCTTTGACATCCTCATCCGCTCCACATGTAACTGAAACGATGCTTTTTAGATAAGTGCGCAGATTGCAAGACGTGATTTCCTTTAGATTTCTCCTATAGGTGGCGATTGATGCTTGTTGTTGTTGGTAGTTTGGTAGCATCACCGCCTTTTTCTTACCCATATTCACTTGGAGTCTTGTATTTTCTGCTTCTTCTGCAAACTTGTTCGCTTTAATAGAAGTCGAGATGCTCCCATAGAGTGGGAGACTCAACATAGATAACTTGATGGTCACCCAAGGAAAACACCTTACTTCTGTTATATTCCTATTCGTCAGCAGCAGCACGCCTTCGGCCGCAGACCACCAACGTAATGTAGACCACTTAAATTATGATGGTAACCGCTTTTAGTCTGCCATCCAAACAACCTTTTGTGGTATTTTAGAGCCTACAAGAACACCAGTTCTAGACTGTAGGTTTCTGGGTCATGGCGACATTCAAGCCCGACCGCCCCGTCAAGGTAGCGGCTATCATTGTGGTAACTTCAGTTGGTCAACTAGTTTAAAAATAGTTATAATTAGTGTTTTAATCTCACATAAACAGTCCTCCTCTTATGGTCTTTACTCGATATTTTTCCTCGATAAATTAGCTGCATCCATCACCTCTTTAGATAATGCCTGATGTCAATTAACTGCTATCGTATTATTGCTTTAAATATGCCTTCAACTTGATATTCAGGTGTGATTAGTCGTTTTGATTAAATTCTCTCTCTTTTTTTGTCTGGGAAACATTTCACTTTCAGTCTTATCACTGCTACCATCCTTTTCTTTTTACATCAGTTTAACCTTTCTGCTTTCTGTTTAAGGCATAGACACGCATATATCTACACAAGCATATACAACACCCGCGCAGAGATGCACATACCTTTTAGCCTATTCTTTTTAAAAACAGTTTATCATCATTATATAGTATATGGTGAAATAGAATTCACAATTCATCAGTATTTATGATTAACAATAGTATTATTCTAACCTCTAGATGCATATATGCATATATGTATTTTTTGGGGGCTTTCTTTTCTACATTCAATCATTGTATTCTGATATGGTGTGTATGTGTGTGTGTGCGGGCGCGCGCGTTTTTGTGCCATTCATCTCAGTTGGTGACTACTTATTCTCTTTTCTTCATATTTTTTTTGTGTTAATATTGCATCACTGTGACACACATAAGTCATTTTTGCAATCAAACACAAATAACGATTTTCGTTTAATTGGATTTTGTTGTTTTGTTAAAGATTGGTGGTGATCATTCATCCATATTCAATTGATATAGAAAGATTATTATTGTGTGTTTTTATTGGCAGTAAAATTAATTATCTGTTCTTAGGCATTATTATTTTATCTATTTATTATTTCCAATCAAATTCACGATTTGCACTACTACAACTACTACTGCTGGTCGTGGTGACTAAGGAATAGTATCCAATTGCTACTAACTACTCATATCAATCAATCAGTAGTATATTTACTTCGATTGAAAAAAGTCATTGTTTGCACTTAGTTATAGGTAGATTGACTTATGTTAATTTTGGCTATAGGAAGCGTTGAAAATATATAATTCGACTGAAATAGCATACTTTGGGTGTATATTGTGTGCATACATGATCATCACTGGAAGCATTTTATTTTTTCTGTCTACATTTACTTATGATGATCATACTGTGATTTATATTTTCAACATTAGTCATAAATAATGCTTATTAGGATTTTAAATGTTGATTTCTTTTTTTTTTGAAGAAACCCAGTATGGTTTCTTTTTGTCTTCAAATAGATATAAGTTAGATTGTATGTTTGTGTGAGAGAGTGTGTATGTGTAAGATTGTCAAAATCCTAATAGTGTGTGAAACTTTTTTTACTGGTTTATTGCATTAAGAGAATCCTTCACTTATAGCTGACTTTGTTAATATACTGTATGACATATTCCTGCAGGATATATTGACTTTATCGACAAATACAACTTAACAAACATGTCCAGGTTTGTCATCTATGGTATCAGTCACACTTAATGATATGATGCTGCATAAGTGATCTCAGCAAGTAAATTGCAGTTCAAACTTTTAGTTTCATAGACCAAAGTATCGTGCTCCAGAAGCAGTTGTTACGTAATAAAATGAGTATAAAAATGGTCTATACGCTCGCCTTATAACCGGAAGGTCTTGAGTTCGAACCTTGGTGGGTGAGTGCGTACTGATGAAGAGTACCGGATTAGGACGATGTAACTGTCCAGCGCTCTCTGATTTTCCAATGGTTGTCAGCTTGTAATCATACCTGTAACCAATCAAATTCCTGCAAATCAACACTTCACAAGTATAAAAATTGTTGGTTTGTATCATTTAGTCTTTTTACCGCACTAATTAAGCGGCATTGTTTGTTTGTTTTTTTAAAGATAAGTGTTCATAGTAATCACATTTTGTATTATTAAACTTTTAATTTCTTTTTAGCGACAATCAGCTCCACTGACACATAGACTCAGTCTAGCTGATTTAGAATCCACTGAACACCATCACAATCATATATTGGATCAAAAACCCCCGTGTAGTAATGCAGTTAATCAGCGCCAACGTGTTCGTTCTTCATCTTTACGGCCTAGTGTAAAAAATTTGATATTAAATTTAGGTGATATGACTAGCAGTATAAATTTAAATAGAAAAAATTCTCTATTCAAATCTGAATCAAATAGTAAACGTATTAATGATTTAACAAGAACAACAACACCGCCACCACCACCACCATCTGGTCAGAATAATTTGTTATTATTATCATCACCATCATCTACTGTGGAGAGGACCGATGAAACAACAACATCAGTAACAACACCAACTGGTTTCCCATCTCTTCAACTATCTGATTCACCAAGTATTCAAGAAACAGTTATGGCATTATTTTCAAAGGTATGTTAATTGGTTTTCTATTTCATATAAAGTTTTGTTGAATAGTATTATTGTGTGTGTGTGTGTGTGTGAGAGTATAGCCAGCAGAGCGGTGTCTTTAAAGACGATTTACTAATAATCCAAAAAGGGATCACGTTGTTCAGTGTTGGTAGAGTGCTCACCGACCACTCAAAGTCGTCCGGAGTTGAAACCATGCCCGATGCACTCCTAAACCTCGCTCAACCAGTAGAAAACCATAAAAGTGACTAAGATTGGTGTGAGGCTAACAATCCGACCCTGCAGAAAAGAATAACACCACAGCTACTGAAATTTCAAAGCTCGAAGGCCTATGTTCCACTCGAAACGCAAAGGAATAAATTTTTAAATTTTCTTTAGAAGAGTAAATGTAGTACAGTGAGTGATATTAAGGTTAAGCGCAAAGTGTTAAATAAAGAGGGAAAATCAATTGATGGATCTAGGAAGTTTCATCGATGATGTTGATTAGAATACTTATTATAAATGCCAAGCCATCATCTTCTTTCTAGTCAAGGAGTATTAGTTGACATAGGATTACGTTGGAAGGGAAGTTATGAGTGGTCGCCTCGAAACCTGGTATCAGTCCATGAAATCTTTCAGTTTTGGTTTGAACCACAGGATGGTGTCGACTATCTGATCTGGGTCGGGGTCGTCGAGATACCAAGGAACAGTGGTTTGAGATTGTTGGTGATATTTTTGGAATTCGTCATCAGCAGCGCAGTTGTATTCAGTCTTTGTAAATAAAATTCTCATTATTATCCAAGTATTTATTCTTTCTCCCGTACATGTCGGTTTATTTTAGTTCAGTTGGAATTTATGTCTCCATCTTGTGTGTGGCAACTCGAAATTCCATCCTTTTGTACAAAGTTTTACTTTGAAAACACAGTCAGTCAGATATAACCAGAGAGAAAGTCTGTGTTTATTAGAAAACAGATTAATATATACCTTTACCAATCCAATTGGAGAGAGGGAGATAGGACAGTATTCTGTTTTTTTATATGCGTGAAGTTGAAACCATCGCACCATAGTAGTAGTCATTTCGAAAGTTAACATCCTACAAAACAAAAGACTTTAAAAAATTACTTCACTAAAATTACTACGGATTGCTTCTGATTACTGAAAAAATACTAATTAAAGGCTAAGAGCCTATCTGAATATGTTGTAGCCTTCAGCTATTTGAAATATGATCGTCGTTAATAATCGAAATTGCAGAAAATCCTGTTTAAGATTTGGTGACTAATCAGCATTGAGATGCCTTTTCTAACTTTTTCCGCTATATATATCCCAGATATGTATTAAACATAGACATTTAGTTTTTTATTTTATTCGGAAAGTTTATATAATCCCTGAATATAAATTGTCTTCCAAGTTTATATTCCTTGGGATTTCTATTCTTCACCCGTCTTGAGTGGAATACATGACTTCAAGCTTTGTTGTTTCAGCAGGGATAGTGGGGTCGCAAGCCTCACACCAAACTTACCCGCTTACTTGGGCATATTTCTGGCTAGTAGACCAAGCGATTTTTGGAAGTTCTTTTCCTGAGAATTAAACCCTGGTTGGTGAGTATTGCCCTGTTGAATCACCGACGCATATTCTTTGAGTTACAACTAGACTTATAAAAAAATATTTCGTAGTAATTACCTTATCCATACAAAAAATACACATTTGGAGCTACAGACATTTTCAGGGCTTTTGTTGTATTATTTCACAGATTAATTGACTGCCTAATTGTTCACCTGTGACGGTTAGCAGCATGGTTTGTTGAATTAAACACTCACAACTTTTTAACCAATAGGTCTCGAGTTTGAATCCCTCTCCACCTAATTTATTCTGGGCAACAGACTAGCATCATCACTCCTCCCACAATAACGATGGAAGTAAATAAGTTCCAGTAAATAGTGTTCTTATGGTCACTTCTATTTGTTCACCTGCTTACTTTTCTATGACTTAGTGAGTATGTAAATATTACATGGTATTTGGGCCCGTTGCACAAGAGGTGGCTGTCGTGACCCAGGTGGTTTATTGAATAACATTTCGGTGTTTTAATCGCAGGGTATTGAGTTCGAGTCCTAGTGGGAACATCATAACTCACTGGGAGTTACAGGTACATCTAGCCGACGAGTCTCAAGTAGGACAAAGTCCGTGTATTCTGGATCCCACTGCTAGTCACCATCCACCAAGTAACTTCATGTTCATCCTTAGACATCGTTGAAGTGTCCGTACTAGGACCTGATATGTCATTAGAGGCGGAACATTTTGATGTAATCAGTCAACGGGAAAATCAAAATCATGGTTCTCTAACTGATGTCAGCTCGTGACTAAAAACCTGTAACCAATCAAATCCCTGCAAACCAACACCGTATTTATTTATCTATCTGTTTGTTAAACATTCCGTTATAACGTAATAAAGTGATATAATCTTCATCTTCTCTTACTGTGTTTCTTTTTTTCCAGCTTGCTGATGACAACTCACCGTCTTCTTGATTTTTTTGCTTCACGATCATTGACTAATTATCCTTTGTCTTTTTCTCATATATTGTTTCCTTGTGGAATTCAATCAGAAAAGAGATTTACCATCAGCATAGCATACCATAGCAAATTAAAATTAACGTTTGTTCAGGCTGTGATTCTGAGAGAGAAATAAACAACAGTAATGATGATGATGATGATAATAGAAACGAGGTGTGTATTGCTTTGAAGATGATACTTAAATAAGAGCTTCCTTTCAGTTTCTGCTTTTTGTTTTTACTTCATCATTATTATGATCTCATCTTATGGTAGTAGTATATATAATTTCAAAGATTCCCTTTGTACATTAATATTATTATTATTTTAATTCAAATGTTTATTTACTCCCTCCTTTGTTCACTGTAAACCAGTTTCTGTTATCGTGTGTTGTTTCTTCCAAACTGTTCCTTATCATTTCGCCTTTTTTATTGTATGAACACAACTCCCTGTTACACACACCCACACACATACATTGAATGAGAGCAAGAGAAAGAGAGAATGAATACCTTCAACTCGCACAGTCACCACCCTCATTTATCAAATTTAAATGTATATTTCATCCGTAATAAAAACAAACTGTCTTTGTGCAAAACAATAAAAAAAAGTGCAAATTCCTGTTTCTTTTGTTATGTCATAAGGGAAAAATTCACTTATCTATCTAATTTTTATCAATGGTATAAAATATGTAAATCTGTTTGTTTGTAAACTCTTAATTTATGTTGATTTTCTTTCAACTTCTTTTCTTCTTCATGATGCCAGCGCAAACACTGAACACAAATTAGTTTTTACATAATTTCCCAGTCTTCAATTACTATTATTTCTCCTGTTATTTCCTCAATTGATGACTGCATATATGTTAAATGCATACACCTCACATCTGATCGATATGTTGAGTGAAAAGCAGTATTCAGACCGTCCTATCTATGTACATCCCCCCTCCTCTCCTTTTTTGTTTCTTTCCCACTTTTCTTTTCTACCCTGGAAACAAATGGTTGATAATATTTTTTAGTTGTTTACTGAATTTATTTGTCTGAGCACAGTTTGTTAATCCTTATGTGTTTTCTCTTCTTTTTTGTCACAACATCAAATTAATATACATACATGTTCCTAGAATTGTTTTCTGTTCACGCAAAGTAATGCTAAGAATATTGTTTTAACTGTTTGCCTAACTCGCATATATATATATATATGTGTCGTAGTTTATTTAGTTATCATAGAGTCTTGTTTCTCAGTACAATTCAGTCAAGAAGATTTTTTACATTGACAAAATCATCTTCAAAGACTGTAAAATTGTAATTGTAAATCTACCGAATAAAATGTTAAGTAGTCTACTGTTGGGTAATACGAGTGTGTATGTGTGTGTGTGGTGTAATTGATACAATTACTTGGAATTTGTTTCTTTAAAGATAAGGGAGAATTATGCAATCGTCAGAGTCACAGTGGAGTTATTCTTGAACACCCAGCTGTATCAGAGTCGTCTTATAAAATTATCTACAAGAAGTTAGGTTTCGGCACTTTCTTATGCACTGAGGAGTTAGCAATTCGTCAATATAACCCTGAAGTCTGCATAGAAAGAAGATGTATTCAGTCTCTTATCTTGCCATGATCTTAAGCTGTTTCCTACCCGTTGACTTTTATTTTTAGTAATTAATTCATTATTATCACTCTTACATGTATGTTTCTTTTAAGCAATTTATTAAGTTTTTTCACACCTGTCGAGTGGACGCTCAATTGGTTTTCTTCCAATAGAGTAGTAATTAAATTCAATATTCCCATAATTTATTCAGAACAAAATATTTAGAGCGAACAATTGTTTTCAATAAATTCTTCTCCAGGCTCTACAATTATAAATCCATTAATTCAAGCATACAATAACCAGCCAGTAAAGGCAAATTATAGAATCATATCAGAAAGTGTATTGTGGAACAAATATAAGATGGGATGGAACAATAGTCAGTTTTTTTAATATTCATGGTCGTTGAGACCATGAGACAAAATGAGATGAAGTAATTTAACGTGTGTATATATAAATATAGTCAACAGAAAAAACAGGTTTCGGGAGTGAGTGTAATCAGGGTGTGTCAGACAATATGAAAATAAACCAACGAATGGGGCGGTCTAGACATAAGTTCAATGTTGAAAATAACGACAGTAAGAATGATTGTAAAATAATAATAATGAAGTGGAATGAACAGGATTTTGTAAATACGATAACAAGTTAGAAAAGCACTGCTTAAACCTAAAGTAATGAAATCATCAGAACGGTCGTGAAATCATAAAAGTCTAGAATTAACGTTTTTCAATGAAACAGAGGAATAGAAGAAGAAAAGAAAATTATGATAGGAATTTATAGTCATTAAAATAAAGGGTTTTGTATTTCTCAATGAATGAAAAACAAAACGATTTGTTTTGTAAAAACAATATCATTTTGTTTTTCATTCATTGGGAAATACAAAAACCTTTATTATAATGAATATCGTATACCCAATGCCCAAATTTTTTCAAACTGTTAAAAGTGAACTTGGTTTGGACATATATAAGGGATTTATAGTGTTAATGTCTATGGACGATTTGTTGTCTTTATTGTAGGCCAAGGTAAACATAGAGGTTGAACATACTTCTTCTGTATGCAAAGAGTTGGTCTTCTGATATTAATTGCAACCGCTTCAGCTAATGATAGGCTATTGTATGCTTAAATTAATGGATTTATAATTGTAGAGCCTGAAGAAGAATTTATTCAAAACAATTGTTCGCTCTAAATATTTTGTTCTGAATAGTAATTGTCACATTATCTTATTTTAAGCCCTTTCTTCCATTGTCTCAGCAACTATGACTCAATCTCTTCTTGTCTGCAGAAATCACTTCTGAGTAATTGTATCAATTACTTCAGCCCTCTTTTACTCAATAATAGGTAATTATGCATTTTTGGTAAGCATAAGTACAGTTGTACAGCCTTGGAAGACGATTTCTTCGATAAGGAGAATTATCTTTGCTGAATAGTCTTTTATTGTCTACATAAATTGTTTATGCGCTAAAGCGTTTATTGCGTTATAACGTGATCCTTCCCCCTTTCAAAGGGATTGAGTTTTCTTCAGTGCATCAGTTAGCTAGCGAGTGATGGGTATTATGTTACAGTGTTCGTGGATGAGATTTTCCCTAATAAAACCATATTCTTATGAGTACCGTGAAACTATGGTTTGTTGATCATTTTTTTAACCAGAAGCATTATTATTCTGTACAGTAAACTCATAGCTCGCTTGTCGTATAACTTCAAGAAGAAGTGTGTCATCACTCTCAGCAGCGAAGAAAGCCGGTGAGAACTACAGTAATAAAACCATTGTAACAATTATTATTCCCTTGGTTTCTGAGTGGATCATAGGGCTTCAACAGCACATCTCCACTTTGTCCTGTTCTCTGCAGACCTCTTTAGCTGGCCGTACAATTACATATAGGCTCTCATCTCCTTCCGACATTGTCTCCTTCATGTTACCCTTGTACTTACTACCAAGTCGTCGTTTCCCTTCCAGCTGAGGGGTTGACCAATGATTTCACCCAGTGGTCTCCCCTTCATGTGTCCAATTCGTCTTCATTTTTACGGCGTATTTGTTGGAAAATAGGTTCTTGATTAGTTCGTTCCCAGAGTTTCTTGCTGCTAATTCTTTCTGGCCACCTGATCTTCAGTATGGAGTGAAGGGAGATGTAGGTAAAAGTTTGCAGTCGCCTACTGGGAATGCTCTTTGCGACGCACCAGGTTTTTGACCCATATAGGAAAATTGGTGTTGAAAATCCGAATTCCGTTCTTTATGCTAAGTGCTAAGTGTAAGACTATGTAAACCTTTTGGAATTGTGTCACTCCCGAACCAACAAAATCACTCCACTCGGCTATATGTCAATCACAAGACTCTACAGGGAAAGAATACAAAACCAAAATCATCTACATGATAAGTTGCAATGACTGCGAGAGACATAACATTGGTTAAAGTAGGTGGCTTGTCAACCATGAACACAAACTGGCCATCAGAATAAATGTTATTGACTCCTTCATGTCACTGCATGCAGACAACTATGGACAGTAATTTGATTGGGACAATGCTCAAATCTTAGACAGAAGTGCTGAAGAACTTTTCGAAGCATGGTATTCAGCAATCAACAGACACAGTGAAACAGACAAGATTTACTAATCCATAAAAAGAAGTCACATGAAAAAAGGTCAAGGAAACGATCGATACCAATACAAGTAGACTACAGGGTGAGAAAATAGACAAAAGCAATCTATCGTTTTCAAAGTTACTATAAAAGGTGACTAAATAACTTAGAGAATTTCAAAAGCATATTTCGAATTGAATTATGCTCTGAGGATGTCTAGTAAGACAATGAAAGCTCCGCAACTAAACTATCCGACTCAGATGACACAGTTACACTACAATCATCGTCATTAGATTTCATACTTTTCTTTTTTTGGCAGTGAGTAACTTAATGCAAGAAGTGAAATGACAGAGATATTTCGTTGGAGGAAAAAGAAGTGATACAGAATTTGTTAGTTAAGCAATGTCTTCTTTTAAGAATTTTAAATGAAAGGATGTGGTTACGTCTTTGATACCGTAGGAGTAATGCAGTGAGAGACGTAGGAAGCTTCCCAATGTCCCCATAAATTCAGCTGTCATAGCTCCTTACACCTACATTGGCATTTCACGACGAAAAGTTGCGTTAACTATCCACTGACCTTGCATCAACACCCTACTGCGAGATAATTCTTTTTTTAATGCCGAAAGATTTCACTGTTCTTTTTGGAAGTCAATTCTTTCTTTATGCACGTTATCATTTTAAGATACTGTGGCGGCAAAGGATTCCTCAAAATTATTAGTCCATATTCAACATTGAACTTTGGTCTTCATCAGTTAAGGCAACTTGTCTGACTGTAGTTATGCGACCGAGTACCCACGATATTTCGTATGCGAAATCCTTTTTACGAGCTAGTGTAAACCAGTTTGATTCCTTTGTGGTCGCCTCTTGATTGTGAGGTGAGGGTTCCTGGTCTTCGATAAACTTCTGCGTAGTTCGTCCTGCCACTCCACTGTCGTAGCTTTGGGTTACTCCAAAAGGAGTGGTGCTGGGATTAAATATATGATGTTCGTAGTATACGGTGTGTTAAGACCTTGTTGCTATTATGGATGGAGTTGATCCTTTCACCAGTTAGCCCTCGGGTGTCGTCAGCAAAACAGAAGATATACTAATAATATGAGATATAATAAATGTAGGTTATTCTCACTAAAAGCCAAAAAGAAATAATGAAAACGTAGAAACAGAGAGCTAATTAAATTTGAAGTTGCTATATGTGTATATGTCACTAATAGTAATAATAAGTTTAAGTGTAATAGTTAGAGTAGTCAGGAAAGTAAGAAAAGAGAGAATGTTAAGAAGTAAAATGATGAGTTTAGATGTCTACCCATTAATGGTGTATGGGATTTTAAGGGGATAGGCCATTTGGACGTAGTCCTTGTGTCGCTGCATGATTGTCCAGTCTTCGCCTAAAGGCGTCCACAGACGGTGCCATGGCTACATCTGCCGGTAAAGAATTCAAGGGACGGCAAACCCGAAGTGAAGAGAAGTGGGGGCGCACCCGGGTCCTTGCCCTCTGGTGAGCTATCCTTCTAGAATTTCCACGAGGGAGCCTATACCTACTCAATGTCAGAACACCTTTGTTTGGGTGATTCTGGTCATTTGTTATTTTGTAGGCAGTAATCAAATCCCCCCTAAGCCGACGGTAGCTAAGTGTGAATAGGCCCAATTTCTGTAACCTTTCATCATATGGTTTGTTTTGGAGACCAACCACTCCTTTTGTTGCCCGTCTCTGAACTCTTTCCAAGAGGTTGGCGTCTCTTCTAAGCAGTGCGGGTGCAATAATATTATGAACTTCAAGGTGTGGTCTGACGTATGTTTTGTACAACCTAAGAGACAGCTCAGGATTGAGTGCACCTAACTGTCTATGTGTAAATTGCTTGACAGCATATGCCCTCGTTACATCCCACCTGTAATTCACGCCTCTGTCCAATGTTTCCATTAGAACTAGACCTAAGTCACTCGCCGGCGTTGTGAAGGACAAGCTTACATTGTACATAATGCAGCTTGCAGTCTGCAGGTGAGTGATTTCACTAACTTGCACTTTTTTGGGATGAAATTACACCGTTGCCCATCGCCAAGTCTTCCAGAAGCTTTAGGTTTGCTTTCAGTGTATGTGAGTCTTCTGAGCACCTTATTTTGATTTGACACTAGTAACTAGTGTGATGCGTCTAGTCCTCTCTTTGGTGCAGACTGAATTTTATCAGTCAGGTT